TCTTCGTTTGCGGAATAAGGATATGAATATTTGATGCAGAACTATAATTGCTTTATCATCACATACATCACTGTTACACATATTTAATAAGGCTTTTTTACAATTAATTTCATGACCCAGGATATTCCCATTCATGTGACAATGCCATTCCAAATCTGTTTACAATCTAGTCTAGTCAAACATCAATTTGAATTAACGTTTATCTCTACAATTATTTATACATATCTAATTAGCATAATTATTACTACACTCCATTCGCTATCAGGAAATAGTAATAAAACCTAATTTTGCATGCGAAAGACAGCACGACTAACTCAACGAAAAAATAGTAATAGTAATGTTCATTTTACTTTAGTAGTGCCACTCTTTATAGTATTTCTAATCCCAGATAAAGTGATCTGAAAACAATGCATAGTTGTACTTTGGGTATCTTAAATAGATTCTAAAAGGATATAATAAATTTAAAGTAAATATTGTAGGTACTTGTTATTTATTTATCAAATTATTATTTCAATAGTGCCTACTTTTTACTTATTTATCGAATTTACTGTCAAGAAGGTTTTATTACTATCTCCTGATGGCGAACAGAGTATAATTTCGAAACGTGTTTATCACGCGGTTCACATTAATTTTGTTTTGGCTAAGATATCAGTCTCTCAGAAATTCATTTGCGGTTTAAAAATACGTATAGTACATCGAAACGTACGACAATACAAACCGCAATGTTTGATTTCATTATCGCTTTTATCTTAGTAAGAAAATTAGAGTAATAAACGATTTGTCTCGGCACCGCGTATTTTATCACGAGCGGAGGATTGTTGTGTGGAAAACCGACGACCGAGCAGATCAAAACAATGAAACCTCAATTGAATTAAGAGACCTTAATAAGCACCAATGGGATATAAATTGGGAGTTGCAGGAAAGCTTGACCTACTCATAAAATAGTAATATATTGTAGTATTTTTATGATGTGATAATTGTTCCTCTAAAGCAGGTCAGAACTTGGCAGAACCAATTCAAATACATCATGTTATTTAGTAAGTGCTAATCATCTACTCAATATCTTCTATGTATTCTAGTAATCTTCTATGTATAAGTAGATTACTGACAGTAATTTCTACAGGGTGTTTAAGAAAAACATGGCGTAATTGGTGATGATATGAGGAAATCTGGGATAGTAGCGTCTCACAATAATGATATTCATTGTACAAAAATATTAATCATTTACTATTGAGTCAGTAGTTAAATTGACTGTAAAATAATCTCTTGCGTAGGCAAACAATAGTTTAAAGGATGTTAATTGACAATATCCGAAATGTTAATAAATTGCTCGCATTTGCAATTCGCAGGTTCGACAAATTTAGTTTCGAAAAAATTTATATTTCACTCGAATACATTTAACAATTCTCCGAAGGACTCGCAATAAATTTTGCGCTGAAAATTAAAGTTCGTTGTAATTACAAGCGTGTAATGTAATTATTTATTGTGTACCTACGGTTTTACGGCGTTTTATCTGCTCTGCTTGTCGGGCTGCACTTTTAATTGCTTTTCTCTTTTTTAAATTACTTATTGTATCTACGATACCACAAAGTCGAGATGTCAACATTCTTTTTTAATTACACTAATTCCGAGTGCATTTAAACATGTAATAATCGAGATCTAGTTTCCTGTAAGAAAACAATGTCGGTATTATCAGTTATGTTGTGGAAAAAAGAGCTGATATTATAATTAAGGAGTAATTGAATTAAAAGTTTTTTATAGCAAATATCATTAAATTTTTAGTACCTAGACAGAATTTTAGATGGCTCATATAACACGTAAACTGGTGCAATTTATTAACTCTGGTGACTCTTTTATTATTATAGCAAGCGTATAAACTTGTTTTTGTTTTCGTTATAACAATTTTATTAATAAAAATTAATTCACTTTTTTGATTTGAGCGCGTCACGTTCATTAAAAAGTGTGCCACAAAGACCTCGCTCAAATGGCGAATTTCATATTCCTACTGTGCATTTGTAGCAACTATAGGATGTTGTTGATGGTTTAAATTGTTGGTGACTCATAAAATAAATAAGTGCGCTTTTCTATCATTGTTCTACTTAATCCCGTACGTACTTCAACGTTTAATTTTGGGCCAGCGTACATATTAATTTTATTAAAAACCAGTTTGTTTGTTAATACGTCATAATTACTGGTAATTGAAAATACCTGGAATTACCTATTTGCTGCTAATAGGTTTCAATTTTTAGAATATTTTTTAACACTATACGTTAGTTGTTTTAATATGAGTCATTTAGCAGTCAATTTTTGTAATACTTTAAAATGTGCAGGTAATTGTAAAGGACTGATTTTGAAGAGTTTTTCTGAAAATATTCATTCATTTACGTATTTACAAGGTACAATTGCAAGGTTTTTTAACCGATAAACAATATTTGATAAGCTTATTGAACGAGTATTATGATAGACAGTTGTATACCGAATTAAATATGGTTTGTTTTTCTATACAAAAATATACTCATTATTAATTGTTTTTTTTTTTTTGCATGAGATATGTTGTAGGTACTAAAAATAAGCACACATTCATTTAATTAATTTTTCTAAAGAAATCTAATTAATAATCTAAATAAAAAAATTGTGACCTCAAAAGGTGGGTATAGGAAATCATATTTACAGTTTCTATTTTAAGATAAACAGGGCAATACGCCTATAAAATAATAATTGTGTACATTTCTACGCACAAAATTACACTTTTTCAAAGGCTGTTAAACACTAATTGTTTTATGTAACTGTAAAATAATAGATTTTTGTTTCACGACTCTGCACCTTCGCGGGCGTGTTGGTTTTTTCGAAATATGTAACATATATCTCTATTTGCGAAATAAATAATTCGTTTCCTTTATTTTCAACGTTACAATAGATACGCACTTTCACGAGAGAACTTTTACTGCTTTTTTATGTAAATAATATAACTCCATGAATAATTACGTTTTGAACATGTCACTGTGTGATATTATTCAAATTCGTGCGTTATTATAGTTTAATTTAGTGTATACTTATCTATCATTTTAGGACATACATTATTAGCGTAGTTATTTCGAAACATATTGAATTTAGTTGATTGCAAAACTTACCATTTTTTAACAACTCACAATGTAACAACCTCCATATAATTTCGTTAGGATTTTTATTTTTTAAATTAAATTTTGTGACCCTCATCATTTCCGAGGGTGGCTCGAAATTACCCGTCAACATAAAGGAGATTCTGGGATATTTTTTTATTGAAATCAATTGGTTTTAATGAGTGCACTGCCCTTATACAGTTCGTTTGCAGCCATCTGTGTTCCTTCACGACTGGATATAAACGAGACGAAACGGTCATCTTGCCAGTAATTATCTTTGTTTCAGTCAGCGCAATGATGAATTTGATTTCAAAACCGCGGTTATATAAATAACAACTCTCGATTACGAATAAATAATACGGCTTTATTGGGAAAAACGCCTATAATCTTGATTGCCTTTTCTGATGACAATATTATCGGGTACGAAATGAAGATTACATATTTTACAAAACTGAGTGCCGCTTTCTCTGTGATATGCAGGTACCGACTTCGTGATTACGTGCTTAAATAAAATGCAAATGCAGTTGTTACACAGTAGTTTCCACACTAATATGTGTTAAGTTGTGTAAACTTTAACTGCAGTAATTTAAATTTGTTTACTTGTAAATTGTGAAAATAACTTGTTTTTTTCTATTTCTCTATTTCTAACTGTGGCTTTGAATAAAATTTCAGAAATGTAATATTTACTTATTCACTTGACTTCAATTCACGTTTTTTTGCAGGTGCATAGGTAAATTTGTTCAATTTATCTCAAAATTATGGGGTCTATTTATTTAGCTTATCGGGTAGGTAGTATAATAAAAATTCCGCGATATCAGGTCTATTTTACAATCGTATGTACTCGTAGGTGTCACCAAACATAAAGATACACATTTCAAATAATATCATCAAATAAACATTTAAGATAATTTTCAAACATAAAAATTGACGAAATTTTTGAAGGATTTCTAAGCTGTGGGTGCATAAAGATATCCAAAATGTGGAACTCCGCACCGAATTTGCCTGCCTCTACATTACTTTACTTTACTTTACTCTAGTCTACTCTACTTTACTCTAGTCTACTCTACTTTACTCTAGTCTACTCTACTTTACTCTAGTCTACTCTACTTTACTCTACTTTACTCTATTCTTAATAGACTCTAGAGTACATTGTGCTAATTGTAATCATTATTGTTGATTAGATCGTTTTATAAACATTTTTGATATAGGGATTTTGAACCTCTACCTAAATTTCATAGTGCATTGTGAAGTTGTTTCACGTGGCTATTTTTCGGGGAAGCACTTACTAACATGTAGGAAGCCAGTATCTTTTGTTTTGCTGTTTTCGATATTTTCCTACAGATAAGATAATGTTTTAAAAATAAATATAAAGTGTTATCTCATTTTATCCAAATAAATGAGGATAATTGCACGAGAAAATTCGACAGACAAAAGTGCAGTATGCCACTTGTAATAAAATTAACTGCACGTATTTACTTTGTTCTTTAAAACAAACTTTCATATGCTTTTGGTAAAATTTCATTCAAGATTTGTTATTATTGTTTATTCTTATGTCTGCTACTTTTGTATGCTGTATCGAGTACACGTTTATAATTGCTTTAAAACAGTACTTGTACAGTTACAAGAGATTTAAGAAAAACATTCACAAGATGATTTCAATTTGTCTTTCGAGTTAAATTGTTTATAAATGCTTTTATAAAAGGATATAAAGAAAATATAGTTTGTTTTATATAACAGGCACTTGTAATAAACGCTCATATAAATCAATTTTTTTTGTTTCAGATAGCAAACGGAAGTGACTCAACGAGAAAATAAAATCGCACATCAATATTTAATGTTTGGAGATAACGTACACAAACGAGACTTGATGAATTTACCAAGATGTTAACGTACTCCGTAATTATTTTATTAACTTCTCTGGCGTCCTGCCTGGGATTGCTGGAAGGACCTAATGTTTGCACGACGCAAGAAACGTAAGTTGGTTTTTTTTGTTAATACTATTAAACGAATTTTTGTGTTCCGGGAATTTTTATGACTCACCCGGTAGACGGCTTTCGAAAATGTAATGAGGCAATTAACATTAAATTTAACTATAAACGGTTTTTTTAATATTGAAAGCACGTTTAATTCCTCCACACTCTGTATATTGCAGTTATTTCTTGGCAAAAATTCAACATATTCAATAAAAACGTTCACTAAAAATAACTTTGCGCAAAAATATAAATATTGGACGGATTTCCAAAATATCCTGATTCTTTTCTATTTTTTCCTACGCGCGAAAAACGTTATATTGTCGTTATTTTGCCGCGTCTTCGTTTCATTCTTTCTCAACGGCCTTCAATTGCTATCGGTTATTTTACACTTACATATAAATATCCAGTTTCTTAACTACCTTGAAATTTCCGCAATAAATTATTGTCTAATCATAGAAGTTATACATATTCGTATAATATGCCAATAATGGTTTACCTACCTAATAAGCATTTAATGAAACAACGATCGCATAAAATAATTAATTTCACATACAATTAGATATAAAATTCAGTATTTAGAGCAATGTATTTTCCAATAATTCTTCCAACATCAATCGGAGATTAGTTCAAGTGACATATGGCATATGTCAAAGTCACATAATTTTCCAATTTATGCATAGGTAACGCTATTTTGCAAAAATTCGCATAAGTATAATTTAACCCAACACTTTATGATTTTCTGAAATTTACATTTTAATTTGCGAATAAACAATCCGTTGTACGTACTGGAATTTCTGTCGGTGCTGCGTCAATAACCATTAAATCCATTTTAATTTAATTTTCGGACCGTTATAAATTTTTTACGTCCGTGTTGTCATTGTAAATAATTCTGCTTCTATAACTGAACCTATCTATAAGCTATTGCTACGTGCTCCAATAAAATTATTGTGGTAATTTTTAGAGTTTCGTGGAAGCTGTGCATATTAATTCCTATTAAAATTTTTAACATAGCGGATTTAAATAAGAAAGTAGGCTTAACAAATAGACACGACTAGATTTTTTTGTATTCTATGAAATAATGTAAGATAATAATTTCTGTGAAAATTAAATTACACTTATTTTGCACTTAGTTTATCCTACAGACATCATAAGTGCATAAAAGTGCAATATGGTCGATTCTATGTGTTGAACAAAGAAAGACTATTATAATAACTAATAAGGACTTTTCGAGGGAAGAAAAATTTGCAGGAAGCATTGGAAGTACTTGGAAATAATTTACCTCTAACAATACTAATTAGTTTAAAGTGATTAACCAATTTGGCCAGTTTTTATCAACCTACGCTCCCGGCAATTTTCTTTTTGTTGTAAAATATCACGGTTTACCACGTACTAATCGAATAATTACCATTTATGATAGCTACTTGTTGAGCGTGATTTTCGCGAAATTCCGCTTATTCTTTTCTACAGTATAATTTAGCATTCAACTGCGCTCAAATAGGCAAATTTACTGTGAAAAAAAGCGGCATTTAGTGTTAACTTCCTGTTTGTATGCGATTGAGGTGGAAGTAAATGCTTTATTATAATGGCGAAGTTTATTTTAATGTAACTTTTGACCCAATATTTTTTTTAAATCCTCATGTTATAATCGTGTGAAACCAATTTAAGAAATGTTGCGTACAGTAATTTGGACAATAGAAAGTATGTAGTGATAATAAAGAATTTTTCAAATAACCAGTGTTTGAAATCATTTTTTTAATTTTTATCTAATCTGGTATGCCGGATATACATATTTCTAGGATGTAATGAACTTGTGAATAGTTTTATGAATAATTCGAAAAACATAGGATAGACTGTTTTGTACAGCAGACATTGGGTAAGAATCAGGTGAATTTTCTCTACAAATATCCTAATACGTCTTCCATTTTTCAAGCTACATAAATAGAGTTATATCGTAGCTTAGTTACTATATTAAATCAATTGAAATTTTGAATATTCAAACAGCTTCTGTATTAAAATTTTATTACAAAAATTTACATTATTACTGCAATAATCCTAAAAAATTCACTATGATTATATCAAATCTACATGACAATTATGGGAATATTCAACAAATCGCAACATTAAAACAAAATTATTATTCGTTTGAACCTTGGAATGTACCTAAAAATAGAAATTGATAAAAATTTGTTACTAAATTCCTTATTATTAAATAGATGTTCCGTATTTGCGGTTGATCAGAAACATTACAAAGTAGTAAGTGCAATTAAAACACAATATCTAATCTTCTAGCGCTATTAGGTATTAGGTAGTTTTATGCGTTAGAAAGACTTGTACAATCGTCATTTCGAGGTCGTTATTTACATAAATTTACATTCGCGTATCACACTAACAATTTCAAAAATAAATGTAATTCGTATGTACAGAGTTGCATTTTTATACTCTCAAAGTTTACCTTCAAAAAAATTTATTAAGTGAAATTCCTACAACAAAGACAATACTGTCGCTATCAAAATGTATTAACCATTTTACACCTGTAATAATGGGAAAAAACACAAATTAATCATAAGTAAATTGTGGTAAATGTGAAGTGCATACGGTTTGTGAAGGTCAGTGTATTGTCATCTCTGTGTTATTTCTCTTTATTTTAGAGTCGTACAACTGTAATACTTCCTTCTTTAATTTCCTTAAACCGCAAGTAACTACTCAATATTGGTGACAATTGCTTATAAAGAAAAACTTTTTGCTAGATGCCTTTACGAAAAAGACTGCAAAATAGTAAAAGAAATGCTTTAAAGGGCAAAATTTAATACAATTGATGAGATGAATCAATCCTTGTATCAATAATAAAAGTACCCGCATTTTTACACCACAAATATTAAATCACCCGTCTTGTAAAAGTTTAATTGCAAAATGCGTCGAGTTTCCATTCTGTGATTCCCAGATAATGTGCTGTATCAAGTCATATTAATCGTAATAAGATTTAACAATTGTGGTATTATTGATAACACGAAAAATGTTTCTCATTTGGCTTACTCGAACATTCTTAGAATTGATTATTTGAGGCATTGAACTTTAATAATAAAATATCGCAAGTTCGAATGACTGGATAAAGTTCGTTTTTCGTTTGCCTCGTCTTCGCTATTGTTATAAATTTTTAGCACGGTATGAAACCCACTCATGTTTCCTGGAAATATGAGGAATGAATTGTATGTTATTATATTAGATTGTTTTGCGGTATTTTAAGTTACCAAAATAGGTAAACAGTAATTTTTGTCGACTTACCTGGCACTTAATAAAAATGTTCGATTTTTAAGGATGTTGTTAAAAACATAACAGAAAATGTAAAAGCGTGAAAGAACTCGGAAATTTAGTTGTTATATCGAATAAATTAACTACAGGTTACTTGTGTAAGCATTTTTGACTTGGACAATGAAAAACCTTGATAAACATTAATATTGATTTCGATGCGTTAACGGTTATTTTTAGTTGAATATGGTTAAAATCAATACGTCAATTTTAAATTAGCACATTTTTTAAAGATGCAAGTGCATCAAAATTAGCTAATGCAGAACAATACTCGAATTATTTGTACATTTGCACTGCGGTTTTTCGCCGTATATGCATATTTGTCACGTTTACTAATTTTATCAATATCCTTTTGTTTTTGTTATTTTTATGTTATATATCTCTTAGAGAAATGAATAATATCCTTTTTCTTTTTAATGATTAATTCGATGCGTTGTTTGTACTTAGAAGTTCAAAGTTCCTAGTGCATTTTCAATGTTTCATGCAAATTGTATAAATTACCTTTTACACGTTTATACCAAATTGCTGACATAATTATTCGCACAAATTAAAAATAAATCATTCAGAAGTGAAAATGTATAATTTTGCGAGTCAATATTTATAAATTATTTAATATGCCTTAATCCTTACACAATTATTCATTTCAAGAAAATTAGTATAAACGAATGTATTGCATAAATTTTAAAAATCTGACTGGGAAAAATTGAAATGTGCGCTTTTGCCATTGTGGATAATTTAATAAGTAATTAATAGCATCAATATTATATAATTTTTTCAAATTTCTTTTAAACGTTCTTATAGCAAAGCTAATTTATGCAGAAATCTCTAGAAGTATTTTCTTAGAATTTATGCTACGCATTTCCTAAAGCGATAGCGAAATCTTACCAAGAATGAATGAACTTTCTATGTTCAAAGATAAAATGATTCATCTTTAGATATCTAAATGTGTTTCAAAGTTATTTATTGTTACTTTATAACAGATTTTATTATATAATTGAATAATTAATAACAATTTAATTGAACGGTTTATCTTATTATATTTCACGCCAAGTTCATATAAATGAGTTAATTTTAGAAACTAAGTGACCTCATAAAATTAATATCGATCAAACTGGATACTCCGCATATTTTTTTATAAATACTCCTCTTCCGTCTTTTATACGCCTCCGTTCACTGTAAAATAAAAATATAACCTGTTTATTTATAAATTTCTTCCATTTTTCCAGATATACCGTAACAGTGAAAGTATCCGAAGAGCAACCCTACCAAGTTAGAGAATACGTGTGGTGCCTCAACTTCCCTCCGAGGTGCTCGAAGTACAAAATTAAATTCAGGACCGTGTACAAGGACCAAAACCTGGTCAAAACCCGACCGGTGGAGGACTGCTGCAAGGGTTACACCAAGAACAACTTGGGAACCCGTTGCATTCCAGTTTGTTCCAGAGATTGCATCCACGGAACCTGCGCCGCTCCCGAAACTTGCCAGTGCGAGTCTGGATATGGAGGACCTTATTGTGATATTAGTAAGTACCTATTTTTTTTCAATTTTAATTTTACTGGGTAGGAACTGATAAAAATCTTGTGGTATATTCCAGTAGGTACTTCAAATGGTCTTTTACTATTCTGGTATTGATGTACGATTGGTAAGTAAGTACGAAAAATGGCATAATAAACGAGGCAATGACCCATGCTTTAAATTTGATTTGAATTAACGTACGGAATCATTACGATCGTTCGATTTGATTGTTCAATATTATTTTCTAGGTCGTTGGTTTACGCGCTAATTAGTTTCGTAAATATTTTACATAACACGCGAAACGAAATTTAATAATTCACCTACATATATTATTGTTATCAAACTCTTATGCGTATACAAATTAATACGTTTTGTTGCGTCAACTCGTTAAATTAATTTCTTAATAAATAATATTCCTAATTCTACCTCATCAAACGTAGCTTGGCTGTTGAAAATTGCGTTAGACACGCAAACTGGAAAGAAAAATGAACTAAGGTAATGAGAGGAATCTTTAACCAACAGAGAACTGCAGGACAATACATTTTTTTTATATGTACTCTTCGATTGATAAGTATCAATTGATCTCCCATTTCCCACCCTCTCATCCAACTGCCAAGCTACATTTGTTGTGGTACATCTCCCGTTTTCCTAGCAAACTCGATTGAACGTTTCCTTTTGCGTTTCCAGCTTGCCCGAAGGGCCTGTGGGGCCGCGAGTGCCAGCACAAGTGCGAATGCCAGAACAATTCGACGTGCGATCCGTTCAACGGGCACTGCCATTGTTCCAGGGGCTGGATAGGCGAGCGCTGCGAGAAAACCTGCGACGCCGGGCACTTCGGGCAAGATTGCGCGGAGACGTGCCGATGCGAGCACGGCGATTGCGATCACGTGTCCGGAGAGTGCCGGTGCCACGCCGGCTACATGGGCCCCCTGTAAGTATTCAAGTTTATAGAGTCGAGAGTACTTAGAGGGTGTGGTTAAAATCTCGCTAAAATGAGCTGAGAATTGGCTTAGAGATAGTTTGTACTACGATGTACACGGTAAATGTGGTAAATTTCTCAGGTATTAGAGGTACTAGATTCTTGAATGTGTAGTATAATTTGGTCTATAGAATGAACACTTTAAATGAAGTCTACAATGTGCTAAAGCTTGTGAACTAGATGAGCTTATGAACTAGATGTGCTTAAGAACTAGATGAGCTTAAGAACTAGATGAGCTCATGAGTTAGGTGAGCTTTTATGAGCTAGATGAAGTTATGTGAGCAAGTCATTTTCTTTCTAAACTATAATATTTTTTTGGTTACATTTTACCATTATGAATCCTTTTTACTATAAAATCTATAAAATTTAGAGGGTTTTCAAGAAAGCAAAGTCCGTCTTTTTCATGGACATATAATTCCTATTTCAGTAACTTTAGTTCTGGAGAATTCCTGTGTCCTAGTTGTGTCCTAACAATTGAGGAATTATTACAAATATTTCCCGAACTACGTTAAAGCCGTTCGATTAATATTCGGTATTGTCTTGCAAATTTTTCTATCGTCAATATACTTCATTAAAATACAGTCGATTACCATCAATGGTTAGAACTGCACATATTATGGAATTAACATGAAATTCATGTGAAAATTATTTAAGTATTTCTTAAGAATGCGGCACTAAAATGCATAGAATCGCTACGCGCGTTCGTTTCGCAATCTTCGTTGAAAATCCACTTATAATTGATTATGGCTCATGTTTGATTTAATTGGATTAGTACTTGAAACACAACAAGTCGATATTCGTAACTTAATATTACTCAATAATCTCAAGTAGGAAGTTTAAATGCGATATTTTTCTTAAAGAGGGGCGAATTTAGAAAGTCTTCTTTTTCACTTATTCTTAAAAGCTTTTATCAAAGTTATCAATTACAGAATTACTTTAAATAATTAAATTCGAAGTCCGTGTAGTATTTATCCGTATTGATAATGTATTTTCGTTTCCATTCCAAGATTTATTCAGTAAGGTTTTTAATCGATTTCCTGCAACTAAAATGCCTGGACTATTGTACTATTAAAAGATAAAGAAAATTAGAAAATTCCACGGTCGTGCGTGCTCGGTAATTTAGTAATTAAAACAAGAATTTCGCACATTAACGAAAACAGATATGCAACGTCGTGCTTTGTTTATAAAATACTGGATATTGAGGTAATAAAATAACAATCGTGAATAAACGAATAAGTAATGTTTACCGTAACAGACACAACATTTTGCCAAAACATCGCATATATATTTAGAATATCGAATAGCGAAATTTCAACGTTCGGTCGCAACGGCTTAATTAAATTTTAAAATCTCTGGAATGCATTTTTATTTAGAATTATACAGAATTTCGGATTATTAGGATTATTATGGGTAGCGAATTTATTTGTTGGTCTAATTAATTGAGAATTTACACATTTATTATCTAATGTAACAGAATTATTAATACAGGGCCCAGTGTGCCCGAAAGATAACCACAAATAATTCTTTTGGTGATCGAGGTGATTGGTAAATATTGACAATTGACATTAATGAGATTTCATATGACAGAAGCTTAATAGAGGTGGAAAACAATTTTGTCGGTATAGAGTTGCAGTAACGACTGTTACAAAATAAGCGTTATTTTTCAAATATCGCTCTCCTATTTCAGCTGCGACGATCTCTGTCCCATCGGCAAGCACGGGCCCGAATGCAAATCGGACTGCAGATGCCAGAACGGCGGCACGTGCGATCCCGAAAACGGCTTCTGTTACTGCAAGAAAGGCTGGACGGGACCGGTGTGCGCCAATCGGTGCCCCTTCGGCTACTGGGGCGTCAATTGCACCCAACAGTGCGACTGCTACAACGGCGCCTCCTGCCATCACATCACCGGCGTCTGCGAGTGCCAGCCCGGATTCACCGGAGACAGGGTAACTTTTGTTTGATGTTATTTTTCAACTATTCACAGGGATTTTCCTATAGGTCAAGTAGGCTCGAGATAAAGAGGGGCCTATAGTCAATTTGCCTAGTGGCTCTCTTCTTCTAAATCCTCAAATTTTTCTCAATTTTTCAATTTCTTCTCAAAATTTTATATCAATAGATGTCCTAAAGCTCAGTTGTTGAGCTACACGGTGTTACAATTTTAGAAAAAAAAACTATTCTATTATAATTTTCTTTTTACTCCAGATATTATTATGAAATTTTGTAGACACTTTTTAAATAGAAAAATTTAATCAATAGAAAAGTTTTTTTTTTCTAATATTGTAATACCCTGTAGCTCGAAAACTAAGAGGTTTAGGGCATATATTGATATAAACTTTTCTTCCTAAAATCCTCCAAACATTCACATCCTGAAGTATAACTACTCAATTAATTAACGCCCTGTATTGTGGAATAATTATTTAACTATCTCATGCTTTATTTGTTTTTCAGTGCTTGGATGTCTGTCCTGAGGGAACGTTCGGGATAAATTGCACGGAGAAATGCGACTGTTACAACGGCGCTAAATGCTCGAATAAGAACGGAACGTGTAGTTGTTCGAAAGGCTGGAGAGGATTGAAGTGCCAGAAAAGGATGTGTCCCGACGGTTATTTCGGCCCTAATTGTCAAGAAATGTGCGAATGCAATAAAGAGAATACGGAAATGTAAGTGGCGCTATACGAATTTTAATTGCTCCATTAGTTTTGTTTCTTTATGAGTTATCGAACAATACCGGCCTTCGCTGAATACGGCTGTGCGGCGATTTTTACCTTGATGAAAATGGATGTGTAACATACAGATTTAATAACAAAAGTACATTACAAAGTATTCTTTTTGCACTTATCTTCACTGCTCCCTACAATATTTCTCTATAGTGTAAGATTTCTCATTTTGTCGAATAGTCCCATTTTTGACTTCATTTTTGAATGCTGTGGCCCTTTTTAACTGGACTTTAATAATAAGACAATATGCCAAAAATGCACCATTTTTAAGTTTTTTAATTTTATCGATATTTTTTGCAAAAACGACCGAATGCATTTTCTATGATATCTTTGTTAATAAAGCACCTAGAAGTTTGAAATTTCTTACCGATAATGTACAGACACAGTACTAAATGAAACTAAACTGGGTTTTCATGGACCATTTACATTGGTCGTTACATTGGCGTTTAAAATTGTCTGACTAATTTGGCTAAATTAAAGTAGCCATAACTTTGTTATTTCAAATGGATCACCCCGTATTTTTGGGCATTGAGCAACGGGTATTTTTAAGTCCTTTCCATCCACATAAGTCTTTCCTATACCCAAATCCAGTCGTTTTCGAATTAATCTAAACTTTTGTTCATTACTATATGATAATTATTCTTGTCTTGAGCTACCTATACTTCATCCATCCAACCAATGGAGTAACTAAAACAAGATTAGACGCTGGATCAACGCGTGATCACCAGTGATTGGCCAGCTTAAGGAGGCTTTTTTATTTTACCCAATAGATGCAAACATGCTTGATGATCACGCGTCTAACCTTGTTTTGGTTACTCCGTTGGTTGGATGGATGAAGTATAGATGGCTATCAGATGCATTTAATACCCTGTGTTACATCATAACTTTGTACCTATACATTATTCCTATCTCTCCATTTGGGAGAAACAATCAATAGTTGTTGATTTTCGCAGGTGCCATCCATGGACAGGCGAATGCGATTGCAAAGCCGGCTGGAACTCGAACGATTGCACCAGGCTCTGCCCTATCCTCACCTACGGCAAAGGCTGCCACAACCTGTGCAAATGCCAAAACAACGCCCAATGTTCGCCCGTCAACGGCACCTGCATTTGCCAGCCCGGTTACAAGGGCGAGCAGTGCGAGAAAACCTGCCCGGAAGGCACTTTCGGCGTGGATTGCGCTCAGAAATGCGATTGTAAGGAAAACGCGACGACTCGTTTCGTACGTTTCGTACCTAACGGTGATTTTATTTCAGGTAAAAACGGCGCCAAATGCTCCACAGAAACCGGCCAGTGTCAATGCCCGCCGGGCTGGGAAGGCCAGCAGTGCGACCGGCCCTGCAGCAACAACTCATTCGGCGATCATTGCAACAGCAAATGCCTATGCAAGAACGGCGCCTCCTGCAACCCCGTAAACGGTAAGCGCGCCCGGCAAATCGCAGGAATTTAGTCGTTTGCCGCACGTTAACCGTCGCTCACGTAGAATTACCGTTTTATTTTATTTTTGTTTATCGTGAAATTTATTGTTTTGTCTTTGCATGTCGTTCAATAGGTAGTTGTACGTGCGGAGCCGGGTTTACCGGCGAATATTGCGAAAGCAAATGCCACCAAGGCTACTTTGGGCTGAACTGCGAACAAGTTTGCCAATGTCACGACGGACATCATAATGGTTGCGATCCCGTTACAGGCAAATGCATTTGCAAGGGTCAGTGGAAAGGTAGATATTTCCGTCGAAATATACACGCTCATTTGTCATCTCGTTGTCATAGTGTAAACGTTGTGTAATTTAGATTTAAATGTATTACTAAATTCGTGTAGATACCGTGCGTTGATATCGAGGTGTTAGTGTTTAGGAATGTGGATTGGGGATTTAAAGTATGTTCCGTTTTATTTTTCTCGTTTGTACAGATTGTTTTGATGTATTTTTTGTTAATGTGGCTATTTTTTTACTACAGTTGCGTATGCAGTGAGAATTTAAGAGAAGAAAATATACCAAAATGAGGTGTACATAATGTAAAACAAAAAATTATTATATTTACACAGCACGAATTTTCTCACACATCACATTTTACCAGCTTGCATTTTTTATTTATTTTAATAATAACCATACTAGCACCGATTATAACCGATTAACTCTCATTTTGTAAATATTTAATTTCATATTTGCTAACTATAAACAACGTTACTAACACCATTCACATTGTTCATCGTTCCATATTGTTCATATTTTTTTAACAGCATTACGTCTTCCAGGCGTACTATGCGAATCGATGTGCGCCGAAGGCAAATTCGGCACGGATTGCGAACAATCCTGCAACTGCCAAAACAACAGCTCCTGCGACCCCGAAACCGGCAAGTGCGTCTGCTCCAGAGGTTGGCAGGGAAAAGACTGCACGCTTCCCTGCGATCCGGGATTCTACGGCAGCGGCTGCAAGCAAAGATGTCCGGAGGTGTCTCAGGGTAAGAAATCCAGAATTGAGTAGATTCAGAGTAGTATGTCGAGTAGATTCAGAGTAGTGTGGAAAGTAGATTCAGACAAGTGTGGAGAATAGATTCAGAGTAGTGTAAAGTAGATTCAGAGTAGAGTAGATTCGAAGCAGTAGAGTAGTTGCAGAGTTAAGTAGATCCAGAGTAATAGAGTTGATTCAGAGTAGTGTAGAGTACATTCAGAGTTAAGTAGATTCTGAATAGTAAAGTAGATTCAGAGTAGGGTAGATTCAGAGTTATATGTAGAGTAGATTCAGAATAGTGTGGAAAGTAGATTCAGACTAGTGTGGAGAGTAGATTCAGAGTAGTGTAGAGTAGATTCAGAGTAGAGTATATTCAAAGCAGTAGAGTAGTTGCAGAGTTAAGTAGATTCAGAGTAGTAAAGTAGATTCAGAGTAGGGTAGATTCAGAGTAATATGTAGAGTAAATTCAGAGTAGGGTAGATCCTGAGTAGAGGAATAGACGTTTCGGATTCTAACAGATGTATCTATAATGCGTTTTTTAGGCAATAAAACTTGCGATCACATCACCGGAGACTACATATGCCCTCCTGGTTACACGGGATTCACCTGCGAGCATCCGTGTCCGTTCGGAAGTTACGGGAAGAATTGCGAGAAAACTTGCACTTGCAAAAACGGCGGCGATTGCCATCATGTTACAGGTAAACGATTGCATTCTTAGATATATTAATAAGCGTTATAACTACAAAAACTTTGCAGGCGAGTGCCAATGCCTTCCGGGCTGGATGGGAGCGAATTGCACCGTACCGTGCCAACCGGGCAGGTTCGGAATCAATTGCAGTCAACATTGCAAATGCTTGAACGGAGGAGAATGCAGAAGGAACGACGGAGTGTGCAGATGCAGGGCTGGATGGACTGGTACTCAATGCCAAGAATGTAAGTACATTTCACGTTTAAATAGCTCTAAAAGCGCAACAAACTTATGTTCTCGCATTGTCCGCGAATAAGTAGGACTTTAAGATGCGTTCGATGATACATAAACGAAAACTTTTACAATTTGACGTTAGTGACAGTTCGTATGACAGAAGTTTAATAAAGGTGGGAATAGTTGTTTGGTATAGAGGTGTAGTAACGACTGTTACAAAATAAGCGTTATTTTTCAAATATCGTACAACATACAATAAAAATTTGTTTCAGTGTGTCCAGAGGGATATTACGGAGACCACTGCATGACTCCGTGCGAATGCGAAAACGACAATTTCATCTGCCAACCGACCGACGGGTGCGTTTGCAAGCACGGTTTCACCGGCGAACACTGCGAGGAATCCAACATACTCGGCAGAGTGAGGCAATTGGACGATAGCGGTGGAGGTTACGGGGTAATCGTAGCCGTCATTATGGTGTCTATCATATTCATAGCCATTGTGGTGCTGTTGGTGTTCTACTACAGGCGGCGCGTGTCCAATTTAAAAACGGAAATCGCCCACGTGCAGTACATAGCTGATCCTAGTGCATTTTCACCAGGTAAAGATTTCTACTACAAATGTTCTACTCATATTAATAGAGGGTATAAAGTTATTATTATTTGTTGTTGTATGTTTAGATCGCAACCACTTCGACAATCCGGTGTATTCGTTCCAAACTGGCGGCAAGCTGGATCTCGATTACCTGTTGAATAACAAAACGAAAATATTCAATAACTTCCACAAGCCGTTGAATCCGAATTTGGAACGCGCAAGACTCGGAGGCTGTTGTTCCACGGACGATGATGATTCCGCTAAAGGTAATTTTAAAATTAATTTAGCCTTGCATACCTGCATGTACCTTGCCAGTTGGAATTTTTAACAAGTGAAATTACGTAAATTTTAAGAATGCTGTGCTCAATTCATGCTCAAGAGTGCTCTATTGATTCTTATCGATCGAAAAGTAAATATATATTACATGATATATTATTGTTATTTTTTCAGGTATTTACGATCCACAATTCGACGAATTGAAGAGTTTAAAGAATCGAGAAGCCGACGCAACCAATCCCAATATCTATCACAGTATTGAAAAATTGGATCACGTCTACGCTGAAATTAATCAGAAAGATCCTAAGGATATTGGTAAGTGGATTTGTTGTATTAGTATTGCGATGTTAAAGCGAAAAATGGCTGTGGTAACGTTAATTTGTTACTTAGGTATGTTCGTTTGGAAATATACCAAGTGAGTATTTTTGAAGTTTGAATGGCTAAAATAATACTGCTTTATAAGAATGCTGTTTTTATCGCGGTAGATTCTTGTAGGGCTTGTTGGAAAAATCGAGCACTTTATAACATATTTAGACAGTTCTATTTTGTAGTTTGAACCACTAAAAATACGCAATTACTTCTGCGCATATAAAGAGTCGAGGCGTTTTAAATTGTTTAAAAGAAAGATTATTAAAATAACAGTTAATGGAAGTTGTCTTTGTTGCACCCACGGTCGTATAGGAGCAATTACATTTGACATCTCTAGTAGACATTTTAATAATGAATCACCCTGTAGATACAACTAATAAGGACTTTTCGAGGGAATAAAAATGTGCATTGTACAGGAAGCATTGGAAGTACTTGGAAATAATTTATCTCTAACAATTCTAATTAGTTAAATTGATTAAGTAATTTGGTCAGTTTTTATCAACCTACGTTCCCGGCAATTTTATTAAACATTATTAAACATTATTAATTTTCAATTTATTAAATTATACTGTCTTGATTCTCTATATGCGCCTTGATTCTTTATATGCGCAGTAGAAGTTGGGATTCTTACGGGCTCAAACTACAACATTACCCTATTAATTCATTGTTTTTGTCGAATTTTTAATATATTTTTTTTTTCATTTTAGAAATGGAATACGACCATTTAGACTATACGAGACCTGTGAGCACACTAAAACCCCACTATCAACGGATGGCTAGTCCGTTCGGCTCCAGAGACCTCACTAAAGATGAATCAAATGTGACTGATTAGTTTCGTTATTTTTTTTAAATTTTATTTATTGATATTTTTTTTATCGTAACGATTCGGCTTTCGTGAAAATGTACAACTATTTTACTTGCGATTTTATCAATGGGTAACTGTTTTAAATTTCGGACTTTTAGCATCTATAATCATTTTATAACACTTTTTTGTGTGTCGATAAAATCCTGATATTCAGGATTAATTTTTGAATAATCCCTTTTTTTATACTCGAACAGTGTACTTGTACTTGTAAAAACGATGAGAAACAGGTGACTGATTTTTATTACAAGAACCAATCGAATTTACTAATAGAAATGGTTCGTCTTTACTCTTGGAATTACGATTTTTAACTTGTCTAATTCTGATCAATTCTCTCAAATTTTGTTATGAATGGCAGTTATTTCAATATTTCGATGTGCTGAGTTAACTTCAAACGAGAAAAAGACTGATCATTTCGAGTACAATCGCTAATTTTGAGAAAACTTTGCTCAATTCCTTTATTCTTTTGTGTTAAAAATATATTACATATCCATATAGTTCAGTTACCTAACAATCCACTTGCTTAAAGATGATAATCGCCTGATTTTTGTGGATAATGATTGAAGTCGATAGCATTGTAATGTACAAGCAGATGCTATGTGTAGTTTTGACTCTTATTGTGTATAATATTTACCTGATTTTCCTCTGACATGCTGCACTGCCGTGTTTAGAGGCGTCGTTTATTTTATTGTATTAAAAATCGATTTATGGTGGAATTCTGAGAACATCTGTAAGACCTATAAGCCGAAATCTGTAAGAGTTAAGAGTTACAGGAAATGCGATTCTAACCTTATCTGTTATCTATTTACAGATTCTCTTACAGTAAGCATTAAGGTATAAGGTAAAAAACTGTAAGTCTTACAGATTTGATTCCAGACTAGCATATTTTACAAATCTGTAAAGGTTCAAGATACAGAATCTATATCTTACAGATTCTGTAGCTTATAGGTAAATTCTCAGAATCCCAACATTAATTAGCATATTAAAAGGAAGATACATTTATGATTGTTGTTATATAAATGACTGAGTTAGTTTATTTGGGTTTTCTTTTTAAACGATTCAATAAAAATGTGTGTGAAAAGTTAATAATTGTATACAGGATGGCCCTTAAATGAAGAATAATCAAATCAGGGGGATGTTTACATATCTTTTTGCGTTAAAAATTTCAAAATTAATTGGTGATATTAAAATGCCGCCCTGTACCTAAATTTTATTACTCTTTTTATAATCTTAAATCCGAAATGTAGATACATAAACCTGACTTTTTTATTATAGAACTTGTAGCTTTTTTAATGTAGACTTGTAATTATAATAAGATCTTTATTATTCCAAGTATTCGTGAAAATAATGCAATAATAAATGCTCAATATCTATCTATAATCCAGCGAATATTTAACGAAACATCATTTCTGTTCCTCCATTCTTGCCTGTCCTTCTTTTATAAATTTTATTTGTATCAATTTGTACTCGCTCAATGGCATGTTTCATTAAATATTTTGCATTTTACACTTCCCTTAATGTTTAATGAACTGTCTAGTGTACCGTTTTTTATAGTGTCGGGTAATTTAGTATTTTCTTACATTTTTATAACGCCAGAGTCAAATTAACTAATTGCGTTGAATAAATTCGGAGTATTCTTTTTGTAAATTATTCTATATATTTATAATTTATAACTTTGATATTTTATTGGCAGATATTTTTTTCGGAATATCATTAAAATAATTTTAATTTGTGATACTTCAGAACAAAAGTAGATATATTTGTACGTTTTTAGTGTGTCGTGGTATTTTAGTTGATAGTGGGTTTATTCGTATTCTTTAATTTTTGTATATAAAAAACTTTATTGTTGTATTGACGCGAGATTCTGTGATAAGTGTACGAATGAATAAATGTTTAAGTTCCAATTTTAGTTTTTATTGGGGTAATTAAGGTCCAGTAAACGGGAGCAGTTTTCTCGATGAATAAATGAAAAAGTTGCTTCTGTGTTTATTTATTTTCGCTTACAATAAGTTATATTTACAAATCTCCAGCATTTAAAATCTCAGTCAGCTTACTCTGAAGAAAATGGAAAATTCCCGATTTAATAACTATGTTTGGTCCATTAAAATAACGCTAATGGAATTTTGATTTATTTTAATAGTGTTTGTCCAATACCTAAACAATTAGTTGTTCCATTTTGAAAATAATAAATTTTTAATAAAATGAAATAAAAATTAGAAATTTAATGGGATTAGGATACTTCAAAATAGCTAACAAAATCACACTCACTATTTCGTAGACACCATGTATACGAAACACTTACTTATGAACAATTCTACATTAATTTTACATGTAAATGGATTGAAGGATTTACCCTGCATATGTGTTTAGGAAATCTTTAAGAAGATAATTCGCCGAATAAGCGAAGTGATGTTTCTATTCTACGTCTAGTTCAAGTTTCTAGTAGCGCAATTTAATAGTAAAATATACAAATTTACCCTTAGCAAAATAGGACATTAAGCTTTTTCATCTTCTAACACGATATTTCGTTTTTAAATCTAGTACAGAGGAATATTTTTCAGCTTGATAGTTAAGTATTAGATGCGGGACAAAACATACTAATTTCTAAAGAATATAAATTAATTTAATAAAATAGTACATCAGCGCATAATATATTATACAAGTTGTCCAAGAAAAAGTAATGTTTCTTATGCTTTAATAGTTAAAATTTTCTTGTCTAAGTGGGTTCTTTTTTAAGATAATAATCTTCACGAAGAAAAGGTTTAAAGAAGGAACTGAAATATTAGGTACATATTAAACATATTTTCTTATAGAGATATAGAATATTTCAGTCAGTAAAACTATCCAATCGCTACCTACCTACTTTTACTCTCTCGATAAATATATAACATAAACTATCATTTTATACTTCTTTTTAGAATAAATAAATTTACAAATAAACGTTCCCCGTCAACGCGCTTATGTCAATTTGTATTTGGAGAAATCGAATTGCAGGTAATTCTTGAGTTTGTTGCCCTTCTGGTCGGCCAGCTTGTTCTTCGCCTTCTCCTTGTACTCATACAGCTCCCTCAATCCGCCATCGTCCACGTTCGACTGCAGCACCGTCCTCACGAAATTGTGCCCCTGGCCGCTCGTGGCCGTCGGGCCCATGCTCTCCTGCGCAGCGCTCAGCAGCTCCGGGTGCTCGTTCAGCGTATCGGACATCGAGGCTATCAACACGTCTGAAACAACATTTTCAACCATCGAAATTGGCCCTTTATCGAAGCTGGTGAAGTTACCTAAAACTCGCTTCTCGATCTCCCGCGATATGTGGCCCTGCTCGGCCTCGGTCTCCAGGAAGTTGGTGAATTTCTGCAGGGCTTGCTGGGCCTCCTCGTTGCCGCGCGTCAAACTCTGCGTGAACATCACCTTGGCCAATTGGTAGATGATTTCTTCCAGCGAGTACTCGGTGTACAAATAATCAGCGATTTTCAGACGCTCCAAGATCTCGTCGTAGTCCTCCTCCGTTGCTTTATCTACTGATTAAAAGATAATAAGTGCCTACAGATCGGCTGAAATATCCAGAGACACCAGGGTCATTCAATGAGTCTTTTTCTATTTACTGATATCACAATCTAATAAGGATAATAAGGAGTAAACTGGAATGAACTTTACAAACCCGGATTATTCATGGAGGCTTCTTGAGTGGGATCCATACGTTTTCGAAGTTGCTTGATGTTAAAGTTGCTCCTCAATTCCGGTTTATCGTAGAAGATAGCTTTAGAATTTGATCCCAATTGCGAGGTCGCTTCATATGGAATCTGTATCATTCAAACATACGATGAAATAAATCTTTCATACAACGAATCAATAGTGGTTAATACCTTCGAATGTTGAACGGAGTTCAGCCCGATTTGAGTATAATGGCTCTTGAGCTTGTCCAAATCGTACTTGATTTCCTGCAGGAAAGCCAAGGCCTCCTCTCCGGTCATCTGGAAGAGGCGTCTCTTTAGTAACCCGGTGATTGGTTTTCGGTAAATAAAACTTACTAAATCTTCTCGAAGGAATTCTTCGATGGCCAGCGTGACCCCTTTCTCGTCTCCCGTCCAAAAAATGTATTTGGCCACGTCCATGGGGGAGTACCGGATGCTGCCGCCGATGCCGAACTTTTCGTTCTGGAAATTGGGTTATTTTTCGTGATAATAAAGGCGCGATCGATCGGGAAAATCTCGCGGTGATGTCAGAGCTTTTATGTAGCCGTAAAAACGCATCAGATGTAAAATAGAGATAATAAAAACGATGGAATTATTAGCATCCATAAACATTTTTTTTTTTAGTCCCTGTTGATGGGGCTTTCGCCGTAGCGCTGCGAAATTAGCTTTCGCGAGCCCTTTTTCCATTTGCTAATAGATTTATAGCCGGCAAAACTGGAACGATATACAATTTATAATTGTGTTACAGTTCAATTAAATTATTTGTTAGCGCGCAATTTAATTAACGTTAAATGTTCGCATTTCCAATATATGAATATATGTTTAAATTATCATCAATTAATAAGAGAAACAATTTATTAACACAACCATTTTTTGACTATACAGATAATATAGGCTATGGGTGCGATAAAGACAACTTCCATTGAACCATGTAAAGGAAAAGGAAAGAGTGGGATGTTGATGTGAGATTGCAACTTTCTCACTCTCGCTCTCACTTTTAATAATCTTTCTTTGTTCAACTCATAGAATTGGCCATATTGCAAACAGATTTGCACTTACCCATGCCTAAATTATCACTTTGAAATAAAAAACTCATTATTGAGAAAACTTCATTACATTAAATAAAATTAGCTACATTCTGAACTCATTTCTAGAAATTTATGTAGCTATTTCACTCACGTTCTAGCAGTTATTGAATTATTCCTCTTACTCTATTTATTATTAAAAGGATTTCATTAGTGTGCTGTGCTTGTGCTTGTCATTTTCAAATGTCAAATTGTTATTTCGAGTTAAAATGTCAAAATATGAATTTATTAAAATGAGAATATTTTACAGAAAACTGAGTACAAAATGCATTTATGAAGTACTAATTAAAAACTTCATGAGAATAAATGTAAATGTTAAAGTTATCACCAGAGAGGAGAACTAGAGAGTGATAAATAAAATTGGATTTGGCCAGACAGAGGTATGAACTTTTATACATTATACAGTAAAATTAATTAAAACTTATGGTAATTTCGGCTAAATTTATATCATGTCGTAAGTAAACTAAAATAATAGATATTCTACACGTAATTAATGGCTATTATTCGCCGGGTTTATTTACCGCGCGGCTACCTTTATATGCTCATTGAATAATGTATTATTGATTGTATATTTCATTTCATCTTTCCATTGTTACTTATCAACAAAACATGTCGATGCAATATTTAAAACTATCCTGAATTTCCCCATAGTAAACAGAAGTAACGATTTAAAAAGTAACAATAAAATCTCAAAAAGTTTAAGATTTTATAATAATCAAATGCGCATATAGGTACACTATTTACGGGGCACTCTGTATAATGATTGATCTTCCCCTATTGTACAATATGATTTTTTTAGGGTAAGTTGCAAAAATTTGGTGAATGAATAATTAAGTAATACTTACCAGGTTTTCATCTGTTAAAATATTATTACTCATGCCTGAACGACGCGATTCGATCTTTTTCTCCTCATCGGGAATCGTCTGATCGATGATTTTGTGTATTCCCTCAGAGGGCACGTTGATTTCTGTCTTGATTTTTGTCCTCGGCTTATCTTTATCGTAAACAGTCTCGACGTTTTGGCTGACTTTCGCCAACGTCTCACCGTTTTCGTGTACTGCAAAAAAGATTTTACATCATCAATGCAAATCAAATAAAAAAATACGCCGCAATATTCCACTAGTAGCATTATCGGGCTATTATTGCCCCACTAATCCATTGAAACATTGTGAATAAATACTCTTTATGCTTCAAGGACTTAGACGCTTGTAAATAGAGTATAACACAATTCGAAAATAAATCCATCGTCAATAAAATCAAATCCAGGGAGCCCTTGTAGCTTCTTACATCGACTTGTCAATTATTTCCGGGGAAAAACGTATGCGGGAACGACAGTTCGAAGGCTGGTATCGAGCGGACAGCGAATTAAATCTGAAAATGTATGTAAAATTTTATGGATCGGCTCTTCCAGTCGACATTGCTTTGCGAACGGGAGACGAGAAAATTGAATTATTTGGCAGTCAATTAACCTCTCGAACTGTTACGTTTTCCTGCCATCTGCTCGATGATTGCCGGTTTAATATAGACACGTATAACGGTGACTTTAGTTGATGATAAATGTTTCGAGTTAGAGTGGAGTTGATTTTAGTTAGTAACAGAGAGTTTTATTTCTGATACATTCTGAAAGGGTTTGGGATAAGTATAGATAAATGCACGGTTTTTTTGATCTTTGTAATGACTATTCCTGTAATGACTTTGGATTGTCGTGATCCGTTTCAATTCGTATGGGTGCGATTTGAGAAAGGATCCACTTTATTTCTCATGGTTTGTGGTGCATTTCACAAATGTGGAGTTTTTGTCTAGTTGAAAATTTTGGGGAATCCCAGTCCGAAGAGTTTATTTCGATAACAAACAATACGCGGACAATTAGAAAACTAAGAGATGTATTAATAAAGTCTAGTCTTTGGAGCCTGAAATAACGAATGAATAGGTGGAAAGCATGTTGAATTTGAATCTTTTTGAAGTATTTCGAGTTACTCATTAATTATATTACAGCTTTATTTTTAAATACTACTTAAAATAATATCGATTATATTTTCGAAAAATATTACCAAGCTCTACTTATTGTTTTTGTATTCCGGGGGTATTTTATTTAAAATTTTATGTAGGTATTATTTTACCACCTATGAGAAAAATATAATACAAATTTGAAATGAATACAAATTTACAATCTTTTTTTGTACTTATTATAGGCAAATTTGATTATCTCACCTTCTTCTACATTTTGTGTCCTTGATTCTTGTTCATCATTGATGCTAGTATACTCGGATGACTGAGATTTAATTAAATCCATCGTCTTGCCAAGTTTTCCTGAAATCGAATAATTATGTAAACGGAAGAAAATTTTAAAATCCAATTGATTAGTCGTTTAAAAATCTCAACGGATATAAATAATATTTAGCACCACTCAAAGTATTTATTTTTCAGTTAAGCTCCAATTCCAACGATTATTGTATTCCACCTAAATTTTGATCCATTAGCTAACTTGAAATAATGGTGGTTGACCGCAATATTGCCACCAAAATTTCTATTTGTGCATGTGCATTCGGTATTTGTTACACGTGGTAGTGGCATTATATACAATGCTCGGGGTGTTTTGGGATTCACCGCGTATTTGCATGGATTATCTATATTATACATACGGTAAAATAGAAATGTATACACGTTGAATTGAAATATAAATTACGCAACGCTAATCTCAAACGTTTAAATGATAATTTTGCAGATTCACCGAGTTGTCAATATAAAATACCTTTTCTCTCTCGTTTCATACGTGTCCTATTTAATTTGCAGCAACACGTGCACGTCCACGATTTAATTACCTAATTACGCAAACGTAATAATTTTCATTACGCCGCTTTGATAATTTTTTATGTACTCTCACCTTTAGTTATTTACTTACCGAAAGATTTTTTCAGGTTTTCCAATTCTCTGACATTTTCGTCCTGAAAAAATAGAATTTATTGTAAGTACTTAAATGAACGAAAAGGTCATTTAAAATAGGGTCAGTAGTTAATAATAGATTTTATAGTTACTTCATAATATACAACCTTTGGTATTTAAATGTTACACTAAACTTAATTACTAGTTAAATTAAACTACCTAAATTATTAGTAAAATTTAATAGGTAGGTCTCTAATAAATTATACGAATGTAGGTGTACGATATACCTAATATATTTTTATGATAGATTAATTATAATTAATTAAATGCATTCTTACCACTGATGATGCGCTGTCTTGTTTCGTTCCTATAACAAATAAAAATTAATTTAATAAACTTTGTATTAAAACGAAAATTCTAAATATAATAGTCATTTTTTAATCATTTTTATGGATTCATAAAAACAATTTTATTGTTCGCTCTTTTTATACAAATGTTATGTTATGTGAAATGGTTGTTTACACGCCGCCTTAATTGGAATATTTCTATTGTTGAGTTTGTTTGCCAGAATTATAGCTTGATTTCCTGACACAGTTTAATATAAGCGATGAAAATGCTTGGAAAGAATAAATGTAAATAATTGCGTATGTGCCATTCTATATATCGATTTTCCTAAAAATATACCACCATTAATGGTCTGTTAGATAAAATATCTTTGACGCAAATACAAATATTTATAAATACAAAAAGGGATATTTTATGTTCTGCTATAAAGATGCTTTTTGTGAATGAACAATACAATTTTAATATTCTATGTAGATAGATCATAATTCTATTTATGTGAATCTGATTAGAAATTTTGGCGCAGGATTTACGCAAATAAATTTGATTTTTTTAAATATTGTACCAACGAGTAAAGTTGTAAAATTGTACAATCATTCATTTACATTTCAGTTGATGTTTGGTCAATAAAACTCCCTTTATCTTATAACAAGATCGTTGCCAGTGAAGTTTTGCTATATTTTAAGAAAAACATGTGACCATGTTTTCCGCTTGTTTACCACATAAAAAACACTGGTCGAAGTTCTTACACTAAATGAAAATGTCGCTTATACAGAGATATGGTACCTAGTTGAATGTCCACCAAATTTGCTGGGTATAATCCGATTTATTTGTTCCGTTATTTCCTAGTAAACGAATTTTTCCTGTCTCTCTATATAAAGCACGTATCTAATTCGATCCGAGAAAATTTAATATACCTCGAATATTCGCTTGCCTCTTTTCCTTGTTTATTTTCCATCGTCTTGACTTTTCATATTTGTAATCCACTATTCATTCCGTCTCCAAACTATCACGCATAACTCTTCTAAAGAAGTTTGAGATTTTTTATCCAACTTCCAAACTCTATAATAAACCAGCTATAAAACCTAGAAGAACATTTAACTTCCCGATAAAAAACACCAAATATAGTAGCCCGTAAATCAGAAATAGGTAACGTTCCGGCGAATTTTACGACCTCGTTAATAGCCCGAATTTTTCCGGTCTGCTTAGCAATTTTCCACTCTACATTTTATTAGACTCTCCGCGTCCCAGAAAGCGATCCATCAAAGGTCAACGGTTCCTTAACAATACCGAGCTGGGTCACGACTGCACAAAGGACTAAAAGGTGTATTTGACGTCACCGAGTGCACAGTGAACTCTCCTGCGGGTTTTTGAAGAAGATTTTAATTGGTTCGTTAAGCGCAGGAAACGCTATCTAAATCTAAACTAATTAGAAGGCTTACACGTTGCTATGCACGAGCTTTACTGCGTAATTAATTATATGCAGTATGTTCCAGGATCAGGTTTTAAGAGGATGTTTTTTACAACAATATTTTACGCTTTGATTCTTTATATTCTATCTAAGTTTTATAGCTTTTGGTGTGGTCTTTTATGAAGACTTTATAGAGTTATGGAATTTTAAGTTACTGAGTGCACAGTTAGCTTTCCTGTGGGATTTTTGAGAAAATTTTAATTAGTTTGTTAAGCGCAGGAAACGCTATCTAAACTAATTAGAAGGCTTACATGTTGCTATACACGAGCTTTACTACGTAATTAATTATATGCTGGATGTTCAAGAATCAGGTTTTTAGAGGATGATGGTTTTATACAAATATTTTACGTTTTGATTCTTTATATTCTGAAGCTTTTAGTGGTGTTTAATGGGAACTTTATAGAATTATGAAATTTTAATAGTTTCTTCATTAGACTTTTTATTAATATCTTAAACGTGTATTTTCTTCAACATCCTAACGGCTCTAGTAGAAGCACGTAATTTCCCTATTACAAAGCGATTAAACTCTGAACTTTTCATCAAGAAATTTTTGGAACAGGAAGACCTTGAACTTTCCCTAATCACGTCTTTCTTTCGACTCGGAAAGCTCGGAACATAGGTGTTATTTCTTAGTAACGCGATGCCTACGAATCGATAAATTACCAAACATTAAAAGCCTGAATTTAACGCGCCATGTTGTCTATAACATGCAATGTTTCAAAAGCTCCTGCAATAGAGTGTATTATTCAATGAATGTATGTATGTAGGTACTATAAATTTCTAATGTTCGTGATATCCTCATAAATGTTTAATAGAGGTATATTCAATAAGACAGTGGTAAATCCACATTGTATATTTTTGAATTTTTTCGATTATAAATCACAAGTTTTAAGTAGACATAAGTAACAAAATTTTTTTAGAAAAATTTTTGACATAAATTTTAGTGAGTAATTGTGCAAGTTATCTTTCGAATTTAAGTAGATCCCACATTGAATTGTGCGCAAAGGACCAAATAAGTGGTAATCGTTGAAAATAATCCTCCCATCATCAATTTATTGACCTGAAAATAATCGACGGCTGTAAGTTTCGGGATTATTTTTTTCGCGAATGTTGCTAAATGAAGTAATTCGTTTCTAATGTGCAAATTCGGCATATCTTCTTGCAGATAAAAACATGTCACAATGAAGTCTTCGTTTTGCTTTCCTATTTCGCTGAATTTGTATACAATCATCATTACATTTACCTGAAATTTTACACTTAATTTAATTGCTTTAACTTTATCGATTACTTACCAAGTACACGACAACTCGAAAGGAATTTCCAACGAAGTACGTTATTGACTTTCTATTCCAGTCTTCTTGTAGAAAGAAGGATGTTGTGATGAAATTCATAACAATAATAACGAAATTAACAAATACACAAAACATCTCCCATCCGAATAATGTGTTAATATCTACTATTGTTTTACTAATTAATATAAGTTTAGATTCAAACATCTTAATTAGTGAGTCGCAGATGAGGTATCTTTTCTCTTCCAAAAGCGAAATATCCTGGTTGATATTTCGTTGGAATTTTAAAATGACGTTAACAATTTTGGTCAATAGAAGGCAAGCGAATATTACATATATGTTTGAAATGAAAAACATTAAATACGGTGTGATGGAATCAGCTAGTTCTTTGGTATAGTATATCTGAAAAAATTCGTTTACCACACAACAACCGAACAAAGAAATCTGCGTGTACCCAGCTAATTTGGCGCGAAAACCAATTTCGCAACGTTCGCGTATAAATGGCGTGATTATGCTCATTCTGTAGAAGAACGTCGACCACTGTTTTTTATGGGCCAAACACGTGAAAAATGCGGTCACCATGGCCATATTTTCGTTAATAACCAGGAAAATATCGCTTAAAACAACCATAAAATTCACGAAAGGTCGGTGATAAGTCACACGAAGTTTGAGTTGCCAAATTTCAGTTGAGACGTACATGAATATCAATAACCACGCGAAAATTGCGGAAATGCGGCGCTTTTTAAGCGAGAACGGAACAACTCCCATATACCGGGCGGTTTTCAATAATTTTCTGTACATTACTTCGTCGAAAGAGACGACTGCATTGTACAACGTCATTTTGTTCACTAACAACCAGTGATTTCAAACGCAGTTCAAACATGTAATTATGTATGAAAAATTACATAAAATTACCCATAATAGCATACAACTTCAAACACGATTCGATGTAATTACCTGCATTTTTTTCTTTATCGCGCGTCTATTTTTGTGAATAAATATTTAAAGTAACCGGAAACGTTGTAAATGGTGATTAATTAAGGATGGCACTCGGTCATTTCTCATCGCAAACTAATTATTGTCTTGTGACAAAAATTGATTGACTAAGAGGAAATGCTGGAAATTGTTTCTAAATCGAGTTTTCTAAGTTTTTTTAAAGTAATTTCCTTGAATAATATCATAAAATCATATTTTTACAAGTAAGAGTTTAATTTTTACACCCTTACTTTTAAACCCCTGAAAGGATATTGGAAATATTAGATTGGATATTGGAAATGGAGTCGTTCAAAAGGGCTTTCCTTAGTCTATCACCTTCACACTACATAATATATTGCGAAATATAGGTGTTCTCTAAAAAATTAAATACCATAATATCACATTTTTAGCAAAAGATCAAATAATTGTCAAGTAATTGCCTAACAAGCCTGTGGAAACTGCACCACGATGTTTCTTTCTCCTACCTACAATATATTTGAAAAAAGGAAATAACCAAATAATTTGGTGATTGGTGATTCCTCTGGAAATTTTTCAGTTTTTTTTGGAAGATATTCCCCTGGAAATTTGACGAAATATGTGGGGTTCCAGCACGATGGATGCCCAGCTCATTTTCCTAGAAGGGTTCGTTTTTTTAGTCGAGCAAATGGATTTAGGCGAGTTTTTTTTCACAACCACCACAATGTCTCCAGACTACTAAATCGAATTATTCCCCGTACAAAAAATATATTCGAAACGATTCTATATAGAGAAAAACCCTCCGTAATTTTTGCGTAATAATTACGAGTAAAACAGCCCTAAAAAATTAATAATTAAAAATCCACTTACCGTCTGAAAGAGGCGCCGTGTCAACGAAACTTTTCTGCGAAACTAAAAGCAACAGCACCGTCAAGGGGACTAAAGCTTTCAGCCTTAGCATAGCGGTAAAATTCTGTAACAAAAATCACGATAAATTAATTGTACTTAATTACTCCAGACGTCGTTAGGGCAAAATAAATTCTGGTAGGTACAATTTAGCACAATTATATCTGCAGGCATGAAAAAATCAACCTCAACGACAAACTATCTGCATTTAGACAACTTATAAATGTATCTGTATAAAATACACCACAATCTCATTCATTACACCCGGCAAGCGTTACATTTCAAAAGTACACGAGATATTCCACACAAAAGCTCGAACAAGACGCGCTTATGAAAAGCCGTGTATCCGATGAACTTTGAACCGAACTCACGTTCGATATTACGGGCCATTAATTTAAGCAGTTTCCGATTAATCTACTTCGACTTGTTCAATCTTGCGATTACAAGAACATTGATATCGCTTACTGAATTAAATGGAAAATCGTAATTACCATCGAGGGTGTCGTATATTGGAATTAACGCGACCATGCTCTTCTAATTAGAATACTTGATACTCCCGAATCGAGGGAATTCAATGAATAATATTAACGAGTAAATATTTCATTAAACTTTTCTCGTTAGCTGGTGAATATGGATCCGGTAAAATCCGTGTTTTTGGCATTTGATAAAGAATATTTCTGCTCTGTATTTGTAATTAAAAAATAGATATTTATCTTACTAATAGATGACTTTTAAAAGTACTTTGTTGGATTTTTCGAGTTATAATGGAGCATAATATTATTTACTGGTGATAATTAAATGTTTAACGTTTATATCCCGGCATAATAATAAATAACTAATGCCAGCATAGGAAACCGCGATGAATATATAGTAGTCATTATGAGAAAGGGTGGGATATATGATAAACATAACCTAATATTAATTATATTAATACTATATTCAAGGGTTGTAATAATATTTTGGGATAAATATGCAAAAATAGAGAGTGTTAATCGATATTTTAATTATTCACACAAAATAATAGCTTTATATCGATTAGTAATATGAACTATGAATTTTGGCGGAGGAGATCAAGTTCTACTACAAACACTGAAATATTAATAGGAATTGAATAATACAATCTTTTTATTATTCATCAATTTTAATGAAATTCCGCCAAGTTTCCAATAACGTGCAATTACCCCCAATTTCAATTCAACATTTATTCCCCTTATAAATCAATGAAGAAGATTAATGAAAATTTTCATCGGGAAGCATTTTCAAGTATAGTTAACTCAAACTCCGAACAAAAATAACTCGGTTTGTATGGATTCGTATCGTTTAATCCCGTACCGGTGATATCGGGAATTCATGTTTCTCGATAATTACGCTTCAAATTGTCTCTCTAATACAGGTTTCATTAAATCCTATTATATTTCGTTTTTAATGCTTCCGCCGCGATTACGCCAATTATTTCGATCAAATAAAGCCCCATTGCGTAGGAGAGATAAAGTAGGCTGATATTTGGTACCTTATGTGCATCACTAATTTACATTTTTTACGAAAAAATCCTGAAAATCGAGCTAATAAAATATAAATCCTGCACCCAAAATTACGATTTTATTAAATATCATGTAATCTTACACCAAATTCCTCACTGAGCGAGGAACAAACTTCCAAATTATCGCTACAACTCCAAAAAAAATATTTGCTTCTGAAATCAACCCGATTCCGATTTCCCCTTGTTAAGGCCGATCCGGCTCCATTACGAATAACTAGAGTTTTCCATTATTTATCCTTCTTTTCGATCCGCTAAACTCCGACCTAAAACGTCTCTGAGTACAGAAACAGAGAGGCTGCTTGTTACCATTTTAGGTCGCAGCTTCCTATCATCAAAGCCATAAAATCCGGAGGGTTTCCCCGGTACAATGTTAAGGTCGTTCGAGAAGACGGGAGAATGATAGACACGCAACGGATATTTGCTCGATACACACAGAGTCCTGGATTAGTGAATATTTCAGCGATTTTCGCGATACTAAAATTGAATGTTTTTAGATTATCGAACTGTGAGTGAAAAAATAACCGGGTTTATGAGTTTTCTGCATCGACAGATTAAACGGTTTTTAATCTAATCATCGGAAAAACATCATGGCAGTTTTCGAGAGTAAAGCAAACAATTCTTATACGATGTATCGTTAAAAACCGACGAATTTCGTGCGAATAGGTTCATTTTGCGTTATCAGGAATTAATCCATCACTAAAACCAATTTTCTAAAAGCGCTCTTTTTTCTGTATAGAGGCTCAATACAAGCTTTTTTATTCCATCGATAGATGAAAGACCAATTAAATTAAACCTTTAATTCACTATCTTTTGTGTTATGGGCCTCTATTTGTCTGAAATGAGTTAATGATAGCTTCAATTTAATCCCCAGCTGAAATTGGAAATTTGCTCTAATGTCTCTGGTATTTTCGTTCACAAAACAGTGTTGACTAAGGGAAAAAAATCCCGATGGAAAAGTTTAATTACAGGAGCATGTTAGGGCATCCTTTCTTTACTTTAAACCTTGTGTAATTACAGTCTAGGTGGCCTAAGAAATGTTTAAAGTGCAAAATAAACTTTGTCATATTTTATTACCCAGTTGAAAGTTCCTGACTTATTTAATTCTAAATGTTCTCCGAGAGAAATAGTTTTTTTAATCGTTGAAATTCCCCCTCCATTTAAGTTATAAAGGATATTCCTTGCATATGGTTCGTTTTAAAAAAACTTACACCTCGTCAATAATACCTATTAACTATTTTATTTTACGAACATTTTACATACTTTTAACTAGATTAAAGCTGCCTGTCAGTATAGAGCGTCAGCGAAATTAAGCGTTATTATGCGATTATTCAATTTTGTTTGTACGACGGGATGAATTGCACGTTGATAGCGCACACGCTTCGTTAATTTCATTCGATAATTAGAGCTTAATTAAGAAAATCCAGTTAAAATCGATAGAGGGCAACGGCACAAAAACGTATTTATTTATCGATGGGTAATTTAACCTTGGTGCTCGAGCTTTAACTTTGATTTCCAGACCCTTTTAGCATATTCGGCTGTTCACATTTCCACATTTCAATGTGGTCTTTTATTAAGTAACCAGTCAATCAAAATATTTTGCAAGCACGCTTAAATACCTCTAACTCGAGTGTAATGAATTCACCAATTAACCGGTTTCTGATTTATGTATTTGCCTATTTACAAATAGAGGTATATACTAGATGGAAATTAATGGAAATTGTATTAACGACAATGAACGGCTGTAGCCCAGCTGGTACGTGTAATTGCGTTCGGGAGACACGTTATTAAGTGTGCCTACTCACAGATATTCGATATCAAATTAGTGCTGTAGCGGAAGCTTCAGGTTCGAAGAACTAGGATATAAAGGAGCTAGATTGCGACAATTAAGGTAGTTTGTCGCTTGGGAAATAAATTAAAAGTAAATAGGATTCCCAATTCCCGTTCGGGAAATACTATGTAAGGTAATATTCCACAGGAGCTAGTAATTCTTCTAATTTATTGTTCATACTTTCCTATTTACCTATCTTATAGTTAATGTTTGTTCATTTTATTAATCGAGCGAATGTTATAAGAAACCCTTGGTTAATTAATACCCACCTTAATTTTCATCGCAGAATCACTCCTTAAATTTTTTCGGCGTTATTTAGATACACCATGTATACAAAAATAAAAAATGAATAGAAAACTATTGAAAATGTGTTGGAAAAGATAAAATTAATCCAATTCAACAGGGCTATTGAAATTATTATTTTCGATTAATGTTGATTTTCACTTCCTACGTTTTTCGCTAGACAAGTCCATTAGAAGATAAAAATTGCATTATACTTATTAGACCTGTGAAACGAGATTTTCTAAGTAAATGGATCCCCATTTCACCTTCCATTCTCTCGGGAATAACGTCTTTTTAACGGCGAGCCCTACTGTTTTTATAGTTGGTTGTTCGATTGTATTTCGTAAGTAATCCTTCTCGGAGAAGATTTACGAGGTTAGTAAATATTTTTAAACGATATAAACATATCTTGTAAGAGACACTGTAAATATTTTTTGCAATAGTTTATTGGCCATCGGCTATAATCGATAGAAACTGTAAACGATTAAAAGCGATTCGGAGAAAATGTATCTTTTTCACAATTTTTCATTGGCCTTTTTTATCTTCCTCTGTAACTTTCCTCTTATAAGGGTGTTTGTAAATTATGTTGGGGAGAAGATAATTAATTAGGTTAATTGTGAGGTTAATTAAGTTGGAAATGAGGTTGGGGTGGTATTTTTTTTCATTAGAGGAAATATGTTTCCTTCATTGTATAACAAGCTTTGCGCCTTCGCTTGTATACTATTTGTTAAAAATATACCTTAAAAACGCTCTGAATTGGGTGAAAAGTGAATAAAAATCCTCTACATTTATTAAAAAATCAGTTTTCTACAGGGTGGCTCATTAATATGGAAAAGACCCATATTTCTGTTACTGTAGATAAATCAAAATACTCCTTCACAAAGTTGTATAGGAATATGAAGCAAAAATAATAAATATGATAATAATAAATATGAAATTTTAATATGAAGCCTACTTTAAAATTAGTTACATTTATACAGAGTGTCTCGTTTTGCCGTGTTAAACCAAACTTTTCCTTTTTTAAATAGAACATCCTGTTTTTATTCAAAAATTTAGTTTATTTAGCTATCCAAGAATATAGTAAAAAGTTATAATTGAGTGGATAAACTTTTCTCCTGGCCACTTTTCCATAAAAATATAGTACCTATAAAGTTTAACACCCTGTAGAAACTAAATGGATTGAATTGAAAATAAATATAGCCTTCACAACATTGCAAATATCCTGAAAATGTACAAAATAAATATTTTTCGTCAATTTTAATCATACCAAAAATGGATAAATTCAAAATTCAAAATATTCAATAATCTTCAATTAACCATAAAATATCATAAAACTATCTAAAATACACCTCTTTCTAATCCAAAAACCACTGTTACCTATACAGAAAAACAGGCTTTAAAAATTTAAGTACCGAACAAGACGTTTTATCGGGGTATATAATAAAAATCGCCCGGCAGGATATAGACTCGTGTCGCAGGATCACCGTAAAACATCTCTGCTCGGATTTCCGCAAAAAACCCATCACCGGGGATCGCTTACAGCGATTATTGAGCTCGACCATGCCATCGGCCACGTGTAACATAAATACCGGCCGGAAAATTAATTTTCCGATACGCATTGGAAACGCAAATGACAATGATAAAATCCATCAGCTGTGAGTTTCGCCGAGTAACAACAGCACGGAAACTATCGATTTTTCAATGCCGGAGTGAGAGAACGTGGGCGGACAATGCGGAGCAATAGATAAGTTATGAAAATTACTTTTCCACGAACGCGATTTACATTTAAATTCGGTCGAAGAGAAAAGTGACCCACGCAGAAACGGGGCGTTAAATAGCAGGGCGTTTCGGTTTCTGGTTCTTTTCTTCCACTAACTAACTCGCGAATTAATTTGAGTAAATTAGCTTTTTTCGTGAAACGGACGCTGACAATTCAATTAGAGCTGAGATGTTACTTTGTCATCATACATAATGCAAGCTCATGGGAACTGTTTTTTGTGAGTAAATTAGGGAATGTGAGAATAGGTAATTGGAAGATATACCAAGCAATGTTGCACTAAATAAATTTAGCCTACATTGCCAGATATAGTAAATGTCTTTACTAAAATTGAAAATCTATAAATTCCTATAAATAAATCTGTGTCGGTCTAATATGCGGTGTTTCTGGCAGGTGGGAGTCTACCTACTCGGGGGCGGCGTTAAATTTCCACAAAGTAATTTGTCAGATATTTAAGAATTTTCTCTGGATAATTCTGCAAATAAATTGTACATCGAACTCGTAGATTTATTAATAGACGATAATTTCCCTTAGGAATAGCGTAAAAAATCTTGGATATTCTAATTCGTTATAATACAACATTAACATAGTGATATTATGAATTGCATTAAAAAAAGTATTAATCAGTTATGTTGGTACAGGGTGGCTCATTAGTATAGGAAAGCTCAATATATTTGTTACTGTAGATGTAGATAATAAGACCTTTCATTCTTGTTAAACATTTCATGTTACTAAATTTAATACTTTTCGAAATATTACTCAGGTAGACCCCATCAGAGACAGCGATAGACCGCACATTGGATAGACCGGCGCCAATAAATCTTTACAAATCAATAAATCCCTGCTACAGAATAATAATGCGAGACAATGTCATCTTGTTGTAAAAATGTACATCATGTGAAATAAATTCCGGCATTTTATGACCGGGGAAGTAAAACCTTCGTAGATCGAAATCTTAAATTGTAGATGACGTATAGACTAAAAGCCGAGCACAAGCGATAAACCGATTTGCGACTTTGACGTAATGCAACAGCACGTAACATGACAAGTTTCAGGAAAGATGGTGGGGCCCATAAGTAGGTGAGTAGGTGGCACAAAAGTAAGTTCGATAAGGGCTTAATTTGAATGTACTTTGTGAGCAACTTCGAAACTATAATCATCAGCCTCTTTTTAGCATGTCGAGGAGATTAATTTGTAATTACGCGTGCTGGCTAGTTTTTTACGTTGGTCGAGAAAATTAAAAAAGTTTCACGAGATTGAATAGACTCGAGAACATGATGTAGGAACTCCTACGCAGGTTTTTGTTGTTGATTTGTTGAAAAACCGTATTATCTTCAATATTGATGTATATACAAAAGCAAGCCAAGGCTTTTAAACTCTTTCATTAATAAAGCTTCATTTTAATTTCGGGCAACAATAAATCCATTTACTTAGCATTCAATTATAGAGAATAATACAGGTAATTAAAAGTTCGATTAAGAATATAAAGTAGAACAAAGCAATACCGAAGTAGTAAAAGATACCATGCAGTAAAACTTGATTGATCAATCCTTTATTTTCTAAAGTTTTAAAAGTACACTTTAGTCGAAAGTTTGTTATTTATTTTCATATATAGGGGTGCGGAATTAATTCACCTGCTAAATTTTCCAATTACTTTTGAGAAAATTAGGAAACTCTATAAAATTCCCAGAAGTATATTTATTATTTATGAACACCATTAGGTAAACATAATTTACTAAACAAAGGCTTTTTAATTAGCAACTTTTTGTAAAACAGTAGAACCAGCTACACATGAAAAGGTCGCATACAGGGTGTCCCAAAATTCACACACAGTCCTCAAAATTCACTTCATAAACAAAATTGGAAGACCTCTGAATTTTTTACATCTAGCTCTCAAAAAACTCTTTCTTTTCTTTGTATCTCAGAAACCTCTTACTTTAGAATTTTGTCTTTTGAATCTGTGGTATTAAGTTCGGATCACCCTGTATAGCATTCTTTGATTAACTAACTCGGGAATACAAGAATTTCAGTTATTTGTATTCGCTGTCCCTTAGCCCACCCTAATTTCACACATGAACTCGCCGAAATAATTCAGATGCTTGGCAGAATGTAAATTGAGATTCAACACTTTTGTTATTACGATGTGAAATAATATTTGCCGTCTGCAGGTAGAACAGAAAACGCTAGCAAGCTTTATTTAAGGGGAATAAAGTGTACAGGTAAAATCAAAATGATCCAGGAAAATCTGGCCCTTGCAAAAACACCAGAGATATGTTGAAATACTGTAAAACGGGGGAACTTTACTCTAGTGAAATGCGAATAATGAAGGAAACAAGAAATGTTTCTTTGAGTGTAACATTTCAGTATGCATTCCGCGATCTGCTTTATTAAAATTTTATCCGATTTTATTAGGTCGGAAATCGTTTTACTGAACGCCGAATTCAAAATAAGAATATCCTTCCTGCGATTGATTCTACATTTCGTGTACTCGATAAGCTAGTCGCCGGCTCCTCAATAAAGCCAATACTTGGGAGAAAAAAATTCCGAAATTGAAATTCCTTGTGATGCTGTATCGCTGCCATGCATGAAAGGGAATTCGATTTGCTACCAAATTTGCTACAAATTTTATCTATACTTGCCGTATGGAGAGGGTTTTCGGTATATTTAAAAACGAGCGGATGAAGAGAGTATGTAAATATGGAGTAAGTGGGTGGTTTTTTAATGAATTCATTGCTCATATAAACCTCACAATTAATGGATTACATTAGAGAGTGTTTGTGGAAAGAATTGCAAACAATTCAAAGGAGTGTTACCTGGATTATTCTAAAAATATTTTGCTATTTGGTGACTCTTTTTTGAACTATTTTGCATTGAAGATAGGAGCGATTATTTGCATTACGGCGAATGAGGGATAAAAGTTTTCTCTGCGAAATTGCATAAACATGAAGCTTTTACGGTGAGTGGTTTGGAAGTTAATAAAATGTAAATTAAGTTAATATTTTTATTGAAAAAATTAATATTGTGAAAATGAGTAACTATGAAATAGAAATGGTCAAGAGGTGTCAATTTTTATCAGAAAATGAATATATTATTATGTATATGAGTTATAAAATAATATAAATGGATACAACATTGTCTGAAAAACACTTTCAGTTTTAACAAAAGTTCATTTTCATGTAAACTTCCAGAAAAATTGAACAATTCAACAATTACGAGACTTCTATGAAAACGTACAAACGACAAAATTGAAGTTGAAAGTTCCTTTCTACCAAAATGAAACTGTACTCAACTTTTCTATTGTATTTCATTGTGGAGATGCAAGGGAAATTGCAAAACGAGTTCGGTAACAAAACTTTTAGATTGACGTTAGTAACGCTACGATAATGTTTAATTACTTGTTTAAGCGGTATTCAAAAGTATTTCTAATCTACTTGTCTAATCTTCTTAGTGAAAAAACGCATAAAATTGGTTCGGTCTTTTTTTACTTCACCGGCGAATATACTTTAAGGAATTGATGATCTGAATAAGCTGGACTTTTTTATTTTTATTGATACCAGATTAATTTGTATTACAGAAGCGTGCCTTAATAGCTATAAAAACGTTAATTGGCAATAAAACTTTTTATGTACTACCATTAAATTCAATCGGAAGTTCAAACTTTTTGAATACCAATCAGTTTAAGACGTTTTGTGAGTGCCTACTTACACACTTTTTACGCTACTTCCGCAATAAATTATACATTAAATTCAAAACCAAAATTATTCGCAAAAATTACAACGATCAAACCAAAATTTTAGCAAATTTTTATCGTTCGAAAAGTGCCAATCAATCGACGCTAATCGATTCGCAAAAACCGCCTTAACTCACCTTCGTTAACAGCTGTCACAAAACACGCGGACGAATGACCTCCTTTTTTGGAAAAAGCGACTCCCCCGCCGGCGACTTCACTCTTCGGCGCGTCGATCCGAAGTGTGACGTCCGTCGTGACGCCTGTAACGGCGACGCATCGATACTCGCTCTATCGGGTTGTCGAGGCGCCGTCGGTCGCTCCATCTCGTAACCCCCACAAGCAATTACCCTTTGTCCAAAAAAGCCCTAGGATTTCGGTTAACAGAAGACTTTACTTCTGTCTTTAAAGTACAACACAAGTTTAAAGCACAGAACATACATAAACGGTTTAAAGTATTCAAAAGTACACGAGGGTAAATGGGGGTTTTTTGGAGTAAGTTTTAGTTGCTTTTACAGGGTGTTTCTTAAAAGCATTTAAGGGAGTTATTCTTGGACCTATTTTAAGAAAAAACTTCATATGAATATGAACCTTCTGACAAAAAGATATCGGGAATTTCTGATTTAAATTACCTGAACTTAATGGGGACTATTTTGTCACAGTAGTATGTTCTAAACCCAAAACTTATTTCATAAAAGCGGTAGCCTACAAATGAATGCATTTATTTCGATAAATGCATAAACCAACTAAAGGGTGTTTCAATAAGACCGCAAGATTTGAATTGCCTGTCATGTTTGACAGTCATAATGACACGTGATTATAACATGACAGATCGAAAGTTGACAGTTGGGAGTTAGTAAATATGGATCATTGTGTCTGGATATGGAACATAATCGCGTCTTAATTGTTAAATATAACTCCCGGTCGGGTCATTTCCCGGTTTGGTGACCAGAATTGGCCGCCATTAAAAGCCGAAATTACACGCTGTATTAATAAAATACCGCCACATATATACAATAATGCTATTCAAAATTTTATCAAAAGAGTACGCTTATGCCAGCAAAGCCGTTTGCCTGACCATTTACAAGATATTTTGTTTCATATATAATTCCTAAATGTACACATGTAAATTTATAAATATTTCCATATTTTGCTACAGGTAACCTTGTTTTATTGAACCTTAAAATCTTGCGCTCTTATTGAAACACCCTTTATAAGGCTTTTTTTAAGTCAATCAATTGGTAATTTGAAATAACAACTAGGGAATTAAAAACGATACTTTTAATTCTTAAATATACACGTTACATTTGCGCTTTAAACGATTTCTTTTCCCTCCAGTCCAAGAACTCTTCGAAATCAACTTCGACATCCTCATCGTTCTCGTTATAATTCACTTGGTTTCTGGATTCGCTGGTGTGGGCCACGACTTCTTCCTTTTTCTTCTCCAAATCGAGAACTCTGAAACGCAATTATTTAATTAGTACAAGCAATTGAATGAAAGGATAAATCGAACCTAGATAGTTTCTTCATTTGCTCATCGATTTCGTCTATCTGTCGTTCCGTCGTCGCTTCCTCTTGATCTTCTGCTATGATTGCATTGCTTTCATTGTCTGCTTCCTTTATAACTTTGAGGAATTTCTCCCATTCTTCTTCTACGGGATCCTTGTATTCCTGATGCCTCGCCTGCGATAAACAAACAAATCGGTAATTGATAATTATTAATAAATTAGGTTTGTATTATACCTTTGCGTCCATTTTAGGATCATCGAAGAATCCCTCGGGTAATGCGTCTTTACCTTCTACAAGCTCTTCTTCCATCTTCTCCGCTTGTTCCTGTCTATTAACATTATTCGAACTAGACGGTTTAGTTTTGTTTGAATCGAAAAAGTCCTTAGGCAACGGGTCTTGTTTCTTATCGTTACTCGTAGAATTATTATTGCTAGTAGTAGTAGGCTTGGCGTTTTTTAATATACCCTTAATTTTCTTCTCCGGGACTTCAGGCAAAGGAGGCGTTAGGGGTCTTTTTAAAGGGGTGCTGAAATTGTTTGTCCTTTCTTTCAACTTCTTGGCTATTTCGATATTCTCCTTGTGCTTTTTGGAGTTAATATGCGATGGCCACACTGCCTCAGATCTCACCACCCAATTACATAGTATGCACATTAGTTGTCCTTGCTCGTTATATGTATTCAGTATTAAGGAATCATAGTTAAATAAGTGTAAATCAAAAAAGTGTAAGTGTAATAAATAAACCATTTAAATTGAAAATTATCCATAGAATTTCAAATAGTTAGTTACATGAGTAAGTATATTATAAAGAGGGCAATCATGTAAATCTCATCTTGCCTCTTACATGGCTTTAATGAGTAATCATAACTCTGGATAGTATATCCTGAAGCAAAGTGTTAATTTACTATTCTTATAATGGCAGAATAAATCTAGAGCGTTGGAATATGTCTACATATAAGTTAATATAAATTAATAAAAGGATATTTTGCTAGGGGTGAATCAACCTTCTTTGCATCTTTCACCTTGGTTTTATGTTCGCTCATCAACTTCCTCAGTTCGGTTTGATTTAACTTCTTTTTCGCGTTTTTAAATATTGCCGACATCTTAAATTGCAATTATTTCTCCTCAAAATTGAACTGAAAGACTTTATTTACTTTTAAATTATGTACATTTCTAACTTCCACTTGAAAAATAAACTTCTTGACAGCAGCGTCAAAAGAAAACATAACCTTAAAGTTCTTAAAAGTTAAGGGCACCACGTCTATTTTCTGATACAGCCACTCTCGTTATCACTATTAAATGCAATTAATCTTGCATGTGGCTGGATAGAAACTAAATAGAAATAAATATATTTTATTCATTTACAAAAAGATGAAATTATCAATCGTAAAAACTTGTTTTAAATAAATTAAGGAGTCAATGAATAGCTTACAGCATAAGAGGCCTCCCATCGAACATAGTCTAGTTTAAAAAAAGAAGTTAACCTAACTTGTTTGACAGTTGTTTATTATGCGGTGTAAGTGTAAAAAAGATTTATATATTTCATAAATAAAAACAGTGAAGAAATGGTAATGCAAATACGAAATTATTCAATACGTATCTAATTATCGCAATTTTAGTATTCGGTACTGCATAAAAAGGAAAATGCCCACGAGGAAGGCATTTGGAGTTGTTTTTGGGGAAGGTGCTGTCCTGAGAAAAAGAAAAAAGCCGACGAAGAGAATCCAGGAGACGATGAAAAGTCGAGGTAAATTAAAATTTACTATCTACTCTATTGTTTTTATATAAATATAAACATTTCTATAGAGATTCTTTGCTCTCCGATGAACCTCCGATAGATTATATTGTTACCGGAGGAGTAGATGATCTGGTTAGGGTTTGGGAATTACAGGACGATAGGCTCGTTCTCAAGCATAACCTAGAAGGTCATTCTCTCGGCGTCGTATCAGTAGCTTGTAGTAATAATGGTAAATGTAAGTGCTTTGAACATATTTTACTAATTTTCGTATGATTTATTTTTAACATTTTCCTTAGTGTGTGCGTCCAGTTCACTAGATTCCAGCATGAGAATATGGGATTTGGAAAAAGGTGAAAAAATCGCGAACGTTGACGTAGGCCCTGTGGATTTGTGGACTGTTGCTTTTAGTCCCGATGATAAATATATTATTTCCGGTTCGCACGCTGGAAAAATTACTTCGTACAGCGTCGAAACGGCCAAAGCTGAGCAAACGTTTGAGACTAGAGGAAAGTTTACTCTAAGCATTGCCTACGTAAGTAACTTTCTGAATAAATATTCCACTAACGGTTTTTTACAGTAAAAATTTATTCAGCAAGTTGAAACGATTACCTGTCGAAAGAAAAATCGCTAATTCTTACAGGCCCGTATTTGTGATCGTTTTTCCCCGCCATCCAGTCTTCGATTTCTTCCACTGTCCTTGGAACTTTCGTCAAGTTGATCATTCCGTTTTCGGTCACTAAAGCGTCATCTTCGATACGAACACCTCCGAATCCCCTAAACCTCTTTAAACTATCCGCCACGATGAACCTCGATAAATTAAAATCCTTCAAAGCCTTATCCAACAACGGATCGATAAAGTAACAACCAGGCTCTATAGTCACCACCATATTTTGCTCTAATTTCCTAGCCGTTCTTAAATGCTTCAAACCGGGCGTCGGTAAGCGCTCCGGAAACCCTTCCAAATACCCTCCTACATCGTGCACGTCGAGACCCAGCAGATGCCCGACTCCGTGCGGCTGGAACACAGCCGCTAAATTAGCATCCACCATTTCGTCAATCGATCCTTGCAACAGCCCGCCTTTCTTCAGTTGCTCCAACAGCACTCGATTGGCCAACAGGTGCATGGCCACCCACGAAACGCCCGGCTTGGCCGCCTTAAACACCGCTCTATTCGCCATCAATACAGCCTCGTATATGAACCGCTGGTCGGCCGTGAATCTCCCGCTCACCGGAAACGTCACCGTTACATCGGCCGAGTACCCGAAGTAGCTGGCGCCCATGTCGAACAAACACAGCATGCCGGTTTTGAGCAGAGCGTTGTTCGGATGGCCGGCGTGGCCGTAATGCGGAACGGCCGCGTTGACGCCCGACCCGCAGCCGGTCGCGTACGCTACGGTCCGGCAGCCGCCGTTTTTGTAGCAGTAGTGCAGGAATTCGGACTCGCATTGGTACTCGTACAGTCCGGTCCGGGCAGTGCGCATGACGTGCCGGTGCGCGGCCGACGTGATGTCGATCACGTACTTCATCACTTCGATTTCGAAGCTCGTCTTTATGGCCCTGAGGTTGCTGATGACCGGGTGTAAACTGATCCGGTCGACGTTGAATATGACGATCCCCTCGAAGTTGGCCTCTTTCGTTTTGAGCAGGCTGTCGGAATTCAGGCCGTTCAAAACGAGCAACGCGGATCGGTTTAGTTCTTTGATCGTCTGACCGAGGTGTTCGACGTAGTTGATGTAGTTGACTTTGTATTTCTTTTTGAATTCTTCCAAGGTGGGTAGAGGGCCGTTCCACACGGCGTATTCGACGGGGTATTGGGGTACGAATAAATAGGAATCGCCCGATACGGTGTCTATTAGACCGAAGCAGTCGGGTTCGACCACTCCGAAGCACCAGGTGAAGTAAGATTCTTGTCTGAAGAGGTACGAAGCGTCGGTGTCGTAAATGGGTTGATTAGAACCGCCTTGCAGCACCACGATGGAGTCTTTTTGCATCTTATTGAGTTCCTCTACTAGTCGTTTTCTGTTTGATTCGTACAGCGATGGGGATATTTCGAGCGTGTGCGGCCCCATGCTCAGTTTGTTTTTTATGTTGAATTGGTCTTCGTACATTTTTACTGGGATTTTTTTAAACCACTATTCCTACTTGGGTGACATTTCGGTATTTTTTGGTTATCAAAATGTCGTTAGGGTGGCGTGAGAAAGTCTGTTAATTTTGCCTCCAGATGGTGTAATTTTTTAGTATCGTTTATGAAGCTGAATACTAGATAAAACGAGGCTAAACGAATAAAGCGTGATGTACTGTTTATGATTTAATTTTACTGGTATAATATAAAAAAGAAATTATTTTTAGAGTCCGGATGGTAAATACATAGCCAGCGGTGCCATAGACGGTATAATAAACATCTTCGACGTGGCTGCGAATAAATTATGGCATACATTGGAGGGTCACGCTATGCCCATCCGGTCTCTTTGCTTCTCTCCGGATTCCCAGCTACTCCTGACGGCCTCCGATGATGGGCATATGAAACTTTACGATGTGTAAGTACAAGGCGAGAGATAGTTTGTTTTATATTGAAGTTAATTATTTTTAGCCAGCATACGAGTTTGGTTGGTACCTTGTCAGGGCACGCTTCTTGGGTTCTCAGCGTAGCCTTTTCTCCAGACGGTAAGAATTTCGTATCCGGAAGCTCTGATAAGACTGTGAAAGTTTGGGACGTCGCTTCAAGGCAATGTGTTCATAGTTTCAACGAACATGCAGACCAGGTATTATTGTAATTTAATTAATTATGGTTGTTAGTGTTACGGTAATTATTGTTTTAGGTTTGGGGAGTAAGATACAATCCTGATAGTAATAAAATCCTGTCTGTGTCTGAAGATAAAAGTATAAACATTTACAATTGTCCAACGTGAGATAGTTTTTTAATAAATTTATTTGGTGTAAATGTTTGATATGCATCGATAACCCGGAATAAAATCAGGTGAGTATGGAATGGAAATGATAAGGTATATTTCTATAGGTCAAAATTAAATACGAATGAACTCGTTAGCGTTTTATTAAAAGTATATTGGCAAGTAGGTGAAACATAGGTATACAGTATAAGAGTATAAAGATATAAGCTATAGTATAAATTTTTTTAGCAATATCAAACACGATATATATTTTTTTAACTCGTAATACCAGTAAGCAGAGCTAAGCTCGTGTTTATAAACTTTATCTGACAGTATTTGTGTTTTCAACTTCTAATGCTTAGTAGATAATAACTAGGTTTATGAAGATGACGCTCGACGAGCGATAGAACAATTAGAATCTAAAACGTGATCGATTTAACTTACTGTATTTTGTATGTGAGTGTGAACGTAGCTTTGCTCTTTCATACAAGTTATAATGTTTTCGATGATATCGAGCAGGAAGATGTACATTTCGGTCGCAAATGTATACCGATCTGCGTTGATTCGATGAACTGTTTTGGGCAAAAAGTTTTCCCAACACTTTCTGTCCAAGCCAGTTCCTACAAGCTACCGACATACAATCACAGTTTTTATTTGGTAGTATCACAAAATATTCCCAGTATTTTCGTTACCACCAAACTTAATTTTTGGTAAAATTAAGTGAAGCGGAGTAAATATCCAATACGAACTAACGCTATATGCCTGTGGTGCTCTAATTCAAATTGTGCCATATACACTATAGAGAACTCATACTACAGTATATTTGTACGTTTACATTATTGTGAACTTCGAATGAAGAATGAGAGTAGAATTTACAGTTTATTATACAGATAATTTTGATTTAAGAGGATGTGATGAATGGGCAATTTGGTTACCTTCTGGTCCCTAACATCACTTGTTACTACCGAAGTAATAAATGTTTTTTTAAATAGAGATTAATTATATTATTATACTCTAATAAATAGCTATTCAAAAGCTACCACCAAAATCAACGAAACGGCACAATATCGCAGAAATTACACAATAAATACACATTCCTTTATATGCGAATATTCCACCGTTTCCACAAGGTGTCCCACCAAAAACATTTCAAATTACCGAATTCCAAACAAACCCGCGCAAAACTTCCTGACGGGACACCCTGTAGTCGTTTCACTTGTAAACAGAATGATTAAACTTTCACTATTAAAACTATAGATTATCAATATTAAGTAATTCGCGAAGCCTTGCCCGTTATGCTTTGAACTCCAGGATTTCCACGGTGACGCTCTCCAGCATCGGCGTGGTAACGGAATTCATGTTCGGCGGTTGCGGGCTCTTGTTCGACTTCATCGACGCCCCGGACACGTTACTGCTGCCTCTCGATCCCCGACGAGACCCTAGAAACAAACGCCCTATGGAGGGATGGCACGGTAATTTCATCTGTGCGATAAGTTCGATAAACGTGCTATTGTTCGGCGCAAATTGCGAAAGCTTTGGCGGCAAAATGAGGGTTAATTACCCTTTGAAGATATTGTTACACGATTTGCAAGATTGTTTTACGATGCGTGCTAAAATGACGGTAGGGTATTTGAGTTGTTTTGGAGGGCGATGGTAAATTGGGCGCAGAAATACCTATATTTATTATCTGAGAATTAAGGTACAAATGAGAATTTTTTGAGCTTATTGCAAACTGAAACAAACCGAAAATTTTAGACGTAGTTGTTTTAAAAAGCATTTCAATGAACGAATTTACTCTGTAAGATGGGGTAAAGTAATCAGGAGAATGCATAGACCTATTAACTTAATAGGTCTATGGGAGAATGATATTTGAAAAATAACGCTTATTTTGTAACAGTCGTTACTGAACCTCTATACCAAAAATCGATTCCCACCTCTATTAAGCATCTGTCATATAAAATGTCATTAACGTCAATTTTTTTTATTTAAAGTCCTTATTCGCGTATAATTGTGAAATAGAATTAAAATCAATGATTCCTTTTGCGCCCAATTTACACCCGTTTGGTTTGGAGTTGTGGAGTAAGTAATTAGTTTTCCTGAAAGCTGCGTTAAAAGCAGAAGAAATTAGAAACAATGGAAATTGGTAAGATGAATATTTAAGTTTCCCCTATAAAATAAAGTGTCATAGCACACATGTCACATAACAAGTAGCGTCAGAGTAATAATGTATGCAGTTACAAAATGCAATTAAATTAAATTACCATTTAACCTATTATACAGACTTCCAATCAAGTAGAAATGATAATTATTCTGCAGGTATATAGAGAATTTACACCAAAACTTTCGTAACTCAACACTACATAATTAACACTAAGTGCCGGTATTATAACAACTCTTTTAATTCACCTATTTTCCAATGATTTGAAACGTAAACGTGCACAAGGAAAACTAAAAAGCGGATTTTCGAAAATGTGCTTGCAAACGAGCTTCTCAATTGCAGACGGTAATAAAGTAAATAATCATGATTCGAGTCTTATATAAAATTCACTTGATGCTTTGTATGTTTCCTGCGAAGTTCGCCTATTAAAGTTTCAAGGATAATTAAGTAAACCTAGCAAGAAGGATCTTTTCGTCGAAATAGGTCAACAAGGATGATTTAGAGGACGAAATAATCTTGATGTAAGGCACTAGAATCTTGCAAACATATGCTGTGTGAAAACAATTAATTGTGTAAGTAAACTGGAGCGCTTGAGGATTCTAGAAAATTGGAAAAATAATTGGGTTGTAATAATGTTGTAAAATAATTAAAAATAACAGGCGAGTATCTAATCGAAACAGCACATTTGTAACATATAAAACATCAATAGCAAAGCGTTGTGCAGCGTTAATTTAAGCTTAAGCTGTGGAACACTTTATAGTTAAAACACTGTGCAACATCAAAAACATTTATATTAACCTTCTGAATTGCCATCAGGCAGCGTTAAATAAGCAAGTAATAAATACAGTTAAGTATTGTTATTTATTTAAATCGATTATTAATTTCTCGTATGTACAATATTAACATATGAGTTGAATTGGCTTTTAAAAAATTTAATTAATTTAATATGAGTACGTGGAAAAAATTTTAAGCGTTTATTAACAATTGCGAAGATGCTGTGTATCGTTTGAAAAGACATCAAGCTCATGCATTCGAAAATTAATTTTTATTATTTGAGAAACGGAAATATATGAATAGTATTACGCGCTAATCGATGCATTAAAATGATCGTGAGTACGAATGGATACTGCAGAAAATTATAAAATTACGTTACTCTTGCCTTCAAGTTTTTTTTTAATTCATTAAAACATTTAAGTAACACCAAAAATGTTAATAAAAAAACAAAAATCGTTGAAATTTTAAATCTGTTGAATACTACTGCAAATTCTTAATCCCTAAAAAGCCCTCGATCATTTCTAAAACTTTTTAAAATCCCGAAGAAATCGTCAAAAAAAAGTTGTCTAAAATCCATTAAAAAATCTCATACTAAAAACATCAAAACTTGTTATGTACCTAACTATTTGTAATCTCCAACTCTATTAAAACTCCTGAGGAACTTGCGATAAATAAATACAAAAATTTGTGGATGAAGTTTGGGAGTTTGGGAGTGTTCCTGTAAAGGAATACTTTCCCGGGACCTTATAATATCCCCCAAATTAGCCCCTACTCTCTAACCCTCTCACCCTGCCTTTACTACGGCGTTTATTCGGCCAGTTCAATTTACATAAATTTGCAACTTTCGAAAAGGTTCCGGTGGAATTATCATACAATTTTGTACAAATTTCAAATTGATAATAGCAACGTATACCTTGCGAATTCGGCGAATTGGCCCGCAACGAAGCGACGCTCGGCTGCCGGCTGGGCCCTCTGCTATTCTTGGAGCCCTTTCGCTCGTGCGGATGTTTGTTTTCCTTCAGCAGCGACACATTCATCAATCGCGGATTGGGGGTGTTGAAAATAGTTCGATTTTCCCTCCATCTCGCCCTGGAATACGAATTACAATGCAGTTCCACACAAACCAGTTTGATACGTTTGTTCGACAAACAAATTTAAAAATATTTATAATTACTCGATACTTACTTGCTGAACAATCGTAGAACAACGCATATCGTGATGAACATAAGGAACATAGCAACTAAAATGCCTATCATAGCAGGATCTATGTACTTTTCTGGCGTGTATTTTGTCTGGATGACTGAAAAATACATTGTGCAAATTAGAAACGAATGTAGGCACTATTTTTAGCAATATGTGACAATTTTTGACGAATTGGCGCTTTCCAGAATAGGCACTTTTAATTCCCAGAATTCCCTTGTATAATAATTTCCCTCCGGCTCTCGAAACCTGCCCGAACATTATGTTCAATCATCATTTTTTAATCCGGGCGCTCGGTAACCCACTTTCATCAAAGTGATTAATCAACTATGTATCGACTCCGAACTCCGGTCTTGTTCATCCCCATTTCCCATTCACTCGCCGTGCTCTACAATCGACGGCTTTTACGCCGCGGAAAAAATTCCGAATTTGCCTTCGCATTTTATTAAAAAAAACCCAGATATAAAAAAATCCACTCCCGGAATAGATACTACAGGTACTTTAGTTAGATACTTTCAATTCTACTTTCATTATTTATAATCATTAAACTTACTACCTACTAAAGACTGGTTAAAATCCACAACAAAAAATTATTAAGAAATTGACCTTATCGTTCTTAAATTTGTAGACTAATTTTGAAATTTTATGTTACAAAAGTAAAGTAATAATTACCTTCGCATTCTATTCTTCCATCCGGTTTCATCACAGCTTGTTTTTCGAAGCGACAAACGCACATTCCATCCTTGCAAAGCGTTTGAAAGTTGTATGCCTCGCATTGTTCGTCGAAAAAGCACGATTCATTTATGCGAGCAGCTGAAAATTAGTTTGTTCTATCATAAAGCACGAAAAAAATGGCACAAAAAGCAGTTGGTTCTTTTCTTCGACTATAACAATTTGAATGCACAGAAGGGTAATGAATTTGTTGTTCAAATATAAGAAAAATTAATGTGAATTCAACGTAAATTGAAATAAATTTGCTCGAATAATTGAGCATTATTTTCAGTTATAGTTAATTAAGAATTAGGTAAAATTGGTTCAACCAACATTTTGTAGGTTGAACAAAGATGAAATAGAATAAACATTAAAATAGAGCATAAATAATAAAAAAAAATAATCCACTAATAGTAACTAGTATAATTTAACACAATCAATTTGCTCCTATTTGCTGATTAAATTTTTCAAGGTATACCTATTATTTACGAATCACCCTTGATATCAATTTGATGAGTATATTCGAATATCACGGAACTATTTCCAACGATTTATATTTAATAATCGCCGGACATTGATCGATTGATCGGAAATTGCTCTAACGAGCCCCGTCAAAGATATCAAGCTCTTTCACCTATTCATCGGACTTCTTTCAATGCAATTTTCAGTCGCCAGTTTTGCGAAGTTCGATTTGTTTAGGCGAAACAGGAATACACAACTGGGTCATAAGTCATTACCAAATCGAACCGGAGACAAACTACCGGCTGCAAACCTGCAAATTAACTAACAGACACGACAGTTGCGGTAATATCTCTCAAATTTACCAGTAGTTTCGGGTTTTGTAATCGATTTGGTTTCACGTTCAGATGATACACGCGTTTCTGTTAATTCATATGGGAGATTTGTGAGTAAGTTATGAAATAGTTTTAGGCTCGTAAAATCTGCTTTTTAATCACATGTAGTGTTATTAAAACATTTCTAATAGCAGTGAACTCACCTATTCCACATTTGTCCATATGATTGGTCACTGGTAAATCGGGCTTGCACAGGCATTTCTGTGTTATATCGTCGCAAACGGCTCCTTCGAACGTGCATTGCCTCGTATTCTTGCATTTATCTCCAAATTTTAGATTGTTGCTTTCTGTAAACAAACACAATAGAATATTAACATACAATACTCTTCATCTACCCTAAATCCACTGATTAGAAGTACGTAATTCACTTATAAAACGCTCTAAAGTATAACCGTTAAAATCTTCCCGGGCATCATTTTTTCTTTTTATACGAAAAATTGAAATTTATGGACTCGCGAAAACGAGAAAAACGCGAGTTTCCCATCTTGTATATTGCAGGTATCAAGGCATTAACTCCGTGAATTATCCGCGGAGGCCGTATGACAAGTTGTTCATGAATACAAATGGAATTTACGGCGGCCGATGGGGCGGCTTTAACTCCTCCTCCGAGGACGGTTCGCTGCAGAAATACGTCTTGATCTGCAGGGAGAATCGCATCACCGCGCGGCGGGAGTTTATTAAATAATCAGACACTATAGTCAATTATTACCGGTGTTACGGGAGCAATGCAGCAGAGCCCGTTAAAGAGCAGTGTGTGGGTGAATAATTGATCACTTCTGCGCTATTATCTCGTTTTGATTTATCGGTTGCATATTAAAATTGTCTGGAATTGATGACGAATATTCAATTAGAAGAGAGTTATTAATAATAAATCTAACGGGTAATTTAATAAGAGGTGATTTGATTGGTGTATTAATGTTCAATAACAATTTGATAATAAGGTTTTATGAGTCTTCAAAAGTCTATCAAAGTGCTCAGAGTAGATTAATTTTATTGGGTTAATACATTAATACACTATAAAATGAAATACCTTTGATATACTTGTTAAAATATTTCCAATAGGACTTTCTGAAATGGAAATTTTTACATTCCGGGAATTATTTTTACATAACGGCTTTGTTTTATTATCCAATTCATCGGGCCACCTCCCTTACATACGTGTATATGTTTGTTTCTGTTTTATACCTTTGTGTCGATTGTTTCGCTAAAGTCACGCAATAATTCGGTTGTTTTTTTTTGTTTGAACAAACTACTCACCAATTGCAGTAATTAAAGTCCATTTCGGTTTTTTATTGCCGCGACGCTATAGCGGAAAATTAAACAGAATGTCTACATTCCGGCATGCAGAGGTGGTCAGTTGACACAGTTTTTTTTTTTTTTTTTAGGGATAAAATGTAAAATTTGTCCGACCGTTCTGTTGTTGGTTCGCTAAAAATTTTTTTGAGTAACGCGTCGTTACCCACAAAAATTAGAATGTTATAGGCTTCTACGAAGTCGTTAAAAGTTATAACTTAATTAGTTTTCAGGCTGTTTTCAGTTACTCCGTTTTACAATTTATTATTTTATAGCATCTTGACAACTTTCTCACTTTCAGGGAAGTGCATAACATATTTGTATTTTTACAACTTCTACTCTCAATAGGCCGTGTTTATAAATAGAAGTATAACCTTTTGCTTTCAAAAAATGAAGGAATTGCTTCAAGGTATATACATAAAAAGAAATGAAGGAAGAAGAGGATTTGCTTTGAGGATCCTGCTGTTGATTTAAAGCAATAGGTTTTACGGATTTAAAACCGTTTTCTCTAATCTTTTACTTCAAATGCTTCATTTTTACAAATATGGACTAACGAATCAAACACGAACAATGTCTATGAATTCATCATTAACGCCAACAGCGATTGTAACAGCGTTCCGGCTGAATTCCAACGCAATTAATTCGGACGTTTTTTTTGGGCATGTGACACCGGTTGTGAGTCAATTGATTCGCGATTCGGCATAATCAATTTACCGTCGCGTCGGTGCAACGTCATGAAAACGTAACCGCCGTGCCAGTCAAGCATTTGGTGGAATTGTTCCGCATACATTCGTGACACCGTGACACAAAACTGACGGGTGTATGCAGGTATAGAGGGAATAAAGATATCCCGAAATTCGATTATGATTTTATTTATATCATCCGGCCCGTCGCGTCGCTGATGGTGGTTTTTTATGAACCGGGTGTTGGGCAAGCACTTATAGGTGGAGAGGTTTTCTAGAATGTTTGCTTGGTCTGTTGTGTGAAAGTAGATATAATTTTTGTTGTGTATCATTAAGTTGATGAAAAAGTTAGTAATTGTATTACTGGATGTGGCTAAATGGAGTAATACCTACGGTCGAATTCACTTCAAGTTCTAACTAAATTTCAATTTCGACAAGCAAACAGAATTTAACGAAGCTTTAAAAATATGTATTCGAGCATAGAGCTATATTTCAAAGTTTTCTCATTTACTCTTGTTCGCTAAATTTATCCGCTGTTTCCCGCAAATCTAAATTAAATATACAAACTCCTCTGCATTATATTCAAGTAGAAAATATACTAACCCACCCACAATTATTATTTAAAATGCCAATATGGCAAAATGTTTTATGTTTTTTTCATTTACTTCTATTAGCTTCCAATACTGTTCTATTAATTTCCTTTGTTTTCATTGATTAACTATTTTTTTTTCTTCTAGTACCTATATATTTTTATTAAGGTCATTCTCTGTTTTATTATTTTTCTCTACAATACTTCCATTGGCAAATCTTCAAGTTCCATTGATATATCTCCAGGTTTTATGAATTACCTTCTTTTTTCTAGTAACATCATTTTCCATGTTTCATTAATAATTTCTTCTTCCATTGACCCATCTTCAACTTTCATTTACATTCCTCCAAGTTCCATTATTGTTCTTCAATCTATCCTGATTTTTTCCATTTTCTATCGACATTCTCCCCAGTTTCAACTATCTATAGATTTTTCTTTTTTTAAATAACATTCTCCCAGTTTCATTAATAATCTCTTATTCCATTGATACACATTCACTTTCATTTACATTCCTCCCGGTGCTATATTATTGTTCCTCAAACTTCCATTGAAAACCTTCCTGATTTTCTTCCTTTTTCTATTTCTAACTTTCCACAAAGCCTATTCACAAACCTTCAAGTGAAATACTGCAAATGAGCAGATACATTGAAAAGAAGAAAACACATGCATGAGCTTGAGCGTGAATATCCATTCGAATAAAAAAGGTCATCGTTATCGCCAAGTCGGTCATCCATTATCAGGCTCGTTAGCTCGGAATCTCCGGAGAATCGAAGTAGAATTTCCGCCGGCCTCTTCTAACAAGGTTACCCCGCAAATAAACCCCGAATCCGACAGGGATTTTCCGTTTTTCCCGTTTCTTCGGCGCTCTACGAAATTAAAATATCCGCCCAGCGTATTGTAATTATTCTTTAATTGTTCCTAGAAATTTGCATTCGAGTTTTTTTTGCTCGATTTTTTTAAAAGAATAAAGGAAAAATTTCCGGTATTAATGCATCACATTATCTTCGGTAATTGTTTCGCCATTATGCATACATTTTCTGGAAATTTGAATATTTTTCTTATTTGTGTGCGTGCTCTGTAATTTTTATTTTGAATATTTGTTATGTAGAACAAAGAAGAATTATTCACACGCATAATAAGAAGTAGAAATAATTAAACAGAATAGAAACATGAATAGAACATTTATCAGAATAATTCGTTCTAACAAAATCGTCTATCATCCCATTTAGAACTTTCCCATTGTCTAAAATTCCCAATAGAAAAACGTGCCCGTTCTTCTATCGAGCGGGCATTCGTATTCTGGGAATTGATGAATGTAGAGTAGATTTTTTACGTATTTCCACGTAATTATGAAAGGAGCTCATGGCGAGGACAATAAATCATTTTCCGAGAGCTCAGCCATTGTCCTGCCGACATTGCAATAAAAACGCTGCATGAATAACAAGGCGATTGTGGCTGTGGTCGGTGTGTGAGGAAACGCGTGTTTTCTGGGCATATTCCTGAGGCTTTGCTCAATGAACACGCTCGAAACGAGAGGTAGATGGAAAAGTACATCCATTAGAGCGGGAATTTTCTTTAGGCAAACCCGCGGTGAAAGTGGAGTTCTGTGGAGTGCTCGCTAAATAATAAAAATATTATACGAGTTGCTTGATGGAGAAATTAAGGGGGGGTTTTTATGTAGCGTAATCTTATTATAGACAAGATATTTTGAGGTTTTTTTAAAACCGAAGATACATAACAAACCTTGTTTCTTTCATAAAAAAGTTCATAAAAAGTTTCAAAATTATATCGCAAAGTCAGCACTCCAATTAGAAAAAATAGCATATAATAGCTCTATATTCTGAACCATTTAACAAGCTTCCCTCCTGTCTATTCCAAAATTAAATTTGTGGCTATTTTATTTCTCGAATAAATAAATAAATTCCGGTTTAACCGCTCGAAAGGCGGTTGCAATTGTTGCCCTGTTTTGATCGCACTTCTTCCAAAATGTGCGGAGTTAAACAAGTTTTCGAACAAAACTTGTAACAAACAATATCGCATTTTCTTCGGGCTCCGATTTCGAATGGCGCGATTGTTGGGTTATCCAATAAAAGCGCTGGAAGCAAATAAAACTAGGATTTATCGCTAAATGGGAGAAAACTGCGAAAGAAGAGCTATAAGTTAAACACTAGTCGTAAATCGAGTGAGATGTTGGCAATTAATTATTGGTGAGAGCCAAAATGAGAAGTGTACAAGACGAAGGTAATTTTGATGGTGTAAGTATGTATTTTATGAAATTACTATAGGGATTTAAAGTAACTTATAAGAACATATTTGGGAGATTAAAGTTGTTACATTAAAAGGAGAATAAGACAGAAAATTACGAAGATTTAACTATACTCCTCTCGCCATCAGGAGATAGTAATATAACCTAATGTTTTATGCAAAAGACATTAATAGTAATGTTTGTATTACTAGATAAAATGACCTGAACACAATGCACAGAGTGCTTTAAGAAGATTTTACTATGATTTCCTGTTAGCGAACGGTGTATAGGGGAATAACAGGTAAATCTTTAAAATGTCATGAAGACACTCTGTATATAAATATGTTATATTGATCCGATTTGTGGTAATAAAACATTTCTGACTTGATTGCTGGGTTATTATATGAATGTTCAAATTCAACAAGCAGTAATCAATATCACATTAGTTTATATTGCGAGCGTAATTTCCCTCATGCA